ATGACCTTGGAGGACCGTATCCAGCCCTCAGGCCTTAGTTTGAGGACCCCTGGTGTACAGGATTGAAATCAGGACTCCTGCTTTCTATCTACCCCCATTGTAGTGTTTCCCAGTTTTGCCCCTCCCTTTTTTTTTACTCTGTCCTAAATGATAGATGTCTCAGTACAGTTTCCTTTCATAGTCTTCTGTATACATGCATTCCAGTAATGTTAGCAATAAGTCTCACACTACCTCTTTATGCACACTGTTGACTTGCTTCCTTCTTCAGCATCGCTTAAACACTTGTTATTCTTGATTTTGAGTCTCTCTTTCCTGTCCATTTCTCTGCCCCCAACAACTTTTAATGAAACATCTCTCCTTCTCTTTTCTCTCTTGGTTTTGCCTCATCACTGAGGCTGTTGCTAGGTCTCCGTTTTCAGCCTGATATCTGGCAGCCTGGAATGTACCTGACCTAGCAACTCTACTCCCATTGGAAACCCCACGTTCTTTTTCTTAGTGGTAAGAAAAGCAACTGAGGAGGATAAGAACTGAGAATACAGTTCTGATTTTATGAAGCAATCATTTTTGCCATTTCTCTGGGAACCTTTAAACCAATAAATAATACTGTTTTGATGGATTCTCCCACCCAGGGATGGCAAAAAACCCTTCTTCTAAAATAAACTAATAGATAATCAAGAGTTAGGAAACATCTATATGCTTTCTAATGGCAGCTAGAATAATAGTTCTGTGATCCTCCAGATGGTTTGGCCTTCAACTCCCAGAAATCCTAACAACTAGTAAACTGGCTGGGATTTCTGGGAGTTGTAGGCCAAAATACTTGGGGACCCACAGGTTGAGAAGCACTGCTCCAGATGTTTACAGTAGCTGAAAATCAACCAATACAGCCTCCAGAACATAGATGCTTCTGCTACATAGGTTCAACTAAATTGCAACCAGGAAACATGGAACTGCCCACGAAGATGACATTCCTGTCAGTATAATGTTTGTTTCAACAGCATTCGAGTGTACATAGTTTTCATTGACCTATCACAGGTATAAAGTGGGAGTGGTGAAATGCACACTAAAATGTCAAGATGTGTCATAAAGTCAACTGTGCATTGTGGACGGGAAGAAGGGACACAACTGGGGCTGATATTTTGAGTGGCAGCCCCATTGGTGTGCACTGCGTATTCATGTTATGCGTAGGATTTGCCTGGAAAGGAAGGGAACAGGAAAAGGAGTGACTCACTTATCACTTATGAACACACAACTGTGCTCTCCTGTCTTGGCCCTGTCAGCTGCATCAATAACTTGTCACATCACGTTTCGCTATCTCCATGTAAGCAGACAGATTGGAGGATGACTCCCTTTTCCTGTCTGGCCAAAGCTTGTGACTTATCTTAACAAGAAACATATAACAACAATAAATTATGGTATAACCTTCTACCACATAGCATATCTAGGCTGGAATCCTGCCAGTGACTTATATCAGTGTAGGTTTTACTTATTCTATTGTAAGCCATTTTTTTGACCAGGATCTAATGATGAGGGTAGGATGAGCAGGTCAGGAGCTGACAAGGTAACTTTGCTTGCTGACAGGGATGGCTTTCATTACCATCCTCCTGCTATCACAATGTCTGTGGTTTATTGTTCCCAGTTGTTGCACTACTGCCTCCTTTGCATGCACTGGTATAATCAAAATGGCAACCAAGATTGTAACCCTGTTAAGCTTGCATCCAACACAGCTTGCTAGAGTTGAGCTTATTATGGTTTAACTATACCAATGTATGCAAAGGAGGAAACAGATCATTTCTTACTCTTGATTGGTATCTAATTTGTTAGTGTTAGGTACCTTCAAGAGGATTTGCCATTGCCACCCTCCTAGGCTGAAAGAGTGTGACTTTCTCAAGGCTGTCCAACTGGTTTCTGATGGCTGTGCAGGGATCAGAACCTTGGTTTCCTTGAGAGCTAGTGCAGCACCATCTCTCTTCTCAGATATTTTATTGCTTGTTTATATATATTTATTGAATTCCTGTCTCACCTCTCTCCCAAAAATGAGATTCAAGGTATTTCACAACAAGATTGATCAAAATTTTGTTAAAACACAGACAAAGCTAAATATTAGAACACAATAACTGTGTTTAAAACAATAACTGAGATGGGACAGAATAGACAATTAAAAATGCAGACATAAATGGAGGGAGTAAAACTGCTTTGTAAGTAAATGATCAGCTGCTCTTTCTTTGCTGGATTCAAAAGATCTAAGCAAAGGAAATCACAGTCATTTCCTTCATTCACTTGGAACATAAAGTTTTCCAGAAAGTAAAGAAGTAAGTATGCTACATCCCTCAAATACAAAAACAAGCATCTGAAGCAGCGATGGGGGAAGTGGCTAATGCCTATCAAGGAGTAGCAAAGGTCAAGGATGAGCAAGCCAAAAGATGCTCTGAAGGAGGCTGAAGAGCACCCAAGGACCAGTTCAGAAATAGGTGATTGTCCTTCAGAAAGAAACAGTTGATCATAATATTCACAGAAAGAAGGGCTCTGTTCCTCCCTACTTCTTTTCAGGTGCTTCTTATTGTCTCATCACTTTCATGGGTACATCTGGTGGGAATTCGTTAGAGATTAAAATATAATGATCATTCATAGCAATGTTTCTCGCTACTTGCAGTCACCACTGCCTCCTTCAACAGAGTATAGCAGGGGAAGTGGCAAAGGAAGAGGGAACAACATACTGTAACAAATAAAAAGTTTTTCCCCTACCTTCAAGGGGAAAAGTTACATAGAATTTTTGTTGTGTGGAAAGATAGTTTCTGTTCTAATTTAAGTTTTTGATGGTTGTGGTTAACATGATTAACATCAACCACTTGATTAAGTTTCTAGTCCAGTAGTTCCCAACCTGTGGTCCATGAACCACTAGTGGTCCTCAAGAACTAAAATATGGTCCACGGCCTCACAGTTACTATGCCATTGCAACAAGAATGACAGGTCTCTTGAAACCATCTTATATTGCTGAGGCAATGGGGATGTCCGGAGGGGAGAGGTTGACTGACTACCCACAAAAGGTATAACAACAAACTTCCTGGCTGCTGCTTCTCCTCCTTCTCCCTCCCACTAAGCGGAACCATTCTATGTGGTGCCTGGAAGCGGGGATGCCTTGGTGTCTTCATTTTTAGGACTGTTCCTGGGGTTATTTGGGGCGCTGATTCAAAAAATGCATTGGGTAGACCACATCAGCTCTAGATTATTAAATATGATTTTCTGTGGGCAAGCAGATGGGTGACTACTGGATGACATATGTTCTGTATCAGAAACTAGAACTGATGTAGTCTATCCAATGCAATTTTCTGAATCAGCACCCCAGATAACGAAATCCAATCTAAAGTTAACTAAAAACTTATTTGTAACCCTTTTGGTACTAATGTTGGAGAGTGGTCCCTAGTCAAAGTGGTTCCTGGTCAAGAGGTCCTTGGACAAAAAAGGTTGGGAACCACTGCTCTAGTCCCTCTTGAAAGTATTCCTCAGTGAGAATATAATTTATAAATCAATAACACATTTTCTTATATTTATTGTGTGTTAATTTCCATGGAGGTCTGTTGTCAAACACAAGGCAGGCTATCAATATCAATATATGGGTGGCTCATTCACTTGGGTGTTTTTTTTCCTAGACTATATATTGCATGAAAGAGAGAACACATAGATACAAGAAAAAAATAATAAAAATAAATCAATCCAAAGTGGTTCATTTTAGTTGCAAACGTTAGGACTTCTAACATTGCCTTTTGTCACATGGAATCTGCTTAAATAGAAATGAAGGAAAGGACAGGAACTGCCGGGAGGGAGGAAACATCCATTCCTCCCCTCTAATAAATCTATCAAAGTTATTGTTAAATGCCATGATTTTGTATACATCTCATTGATTCAATGGATGTACCTTTGTTCAGATTACCAACAGTCTTTGAAACCTAGTCTTTACTGGTTACGTTAACAGAAATTTGGCCTGTAATATGAAGAGGAGATACAGTCAAATCTACCATGAGTTTTTGAATAGAGTTCAAAGCTGCAAATACAACAGGGGAAACATTTGGCAGATTTTTTTTGGCAACAATTCAGTTGTCGTCTGCGTTGTGCAACTACAGGAACGTTGGGGAAATCATAAATGATATATTCAACTTTTGAAAGCAGGGGGCTGAAGAGACTGTCCCTTGAGAGTCATCTTGTGGCCTTAACCACAAGACCAAAAGACAAACAGTCACAGAGAGACAAAAAGTCAGGAAGGCATAGCACATGAATGAAGAGTGTGTGCTTTATTGTGCAATGACACTTAGTATGCCATATGAGACATTTCTGAAGAGGTTATTTAGGAACAATTACTGGTACAATGGGTAAGTTCAGGGTAAATTAAATTATGTGAAGTACTCCAGAATTGCCTACGCATGCACATAATCATTGTCAAGCCTTTATTTACTATATTGGCACTTATATTCCAGAAAAAAAATGTTCCAGTCATATTGTCTGAACAGTGCCTTGAGAAAGTTTCCCTACTCATAAGAACATACCATTGAGTTCAACCAGGGCTTGTTTCTAAATAAGTCACAGCAGTGGCTGCCTTCCTGTTGTAATGTTTTGAAAATGTGTTCAGAAACACAAGAGAAGTACTTCTTATTTCAGTTCCATGAAAAATAAAGATTAATGTGGGTTATATAAAAACCAAGTTTGTCTCTAAACTAGAAGTAAATTTTACCGTGCTTTCATTCCATGTTTAAATACAGTTGTCAATGCTTATATATACCTTTGTATTTTTGTCCTGCTGGTGGTTTAAAATTGGTTTTATATGTTGATACGTATTATTCTCAGCTATGGATTTTATTACAGCTTTCTATTCTGCATTTTCCGTTACAGTTTTATTGTTGTATTTTAAAGTTATATTTTTAACAGATTGTAAATTGCACAGAGAACTTTGGTTAGTGAGAAGTTTACAAGTGCATTAAATACATTTTTTTATTTTCTCTCTAACACAGAGGACATATATCTTCACTTTCCTGCTAAGCTCCCGAGTCTTCATTCATCCGCATGAACTCCTAGCTAAAGTGGGCCAACTTTGCCTTAAACAGAAGCAGCAGCTAGAGACTGGCATTGAGACAGACAAGGTATGTGACAAAGCTTCTCACTACTTACAGCAGCAATGGGTTTCCTTTCCCCTAGCACTGGGCTCTGTATAATCCATTGCCAAGTAAGTTCTTTTGGCTATCAGACATAGGCTGAATGAACTCAGCATAGTGTACTGGATTGACTGTATACTGGGAGAGCAGGGTTTAGTTCCCCACTCAGTCATGAAAACCTAATAATAATAATAATAATCATCATCATCATCATCATCTTTATTTATATTCCACCCTAGATCCTCGAGGGGACTCAGGGCAGATTGCAGTACACAGATATGACATTCAATGCCATTATATAATTAAACAAAGACAGACAGTCCATAAACAGAGGTAATGGCTTCCCATCTTTTTCCATCTTCGACATCTGGAGGCTGTTCTTGACTCTGGCCATGGTGGGTGCTGTCACTCCATCTTCCATGCTGAGGAGCTTTGTTGTCTTTAGACGCTCTCCTGATTGAATCACCAGCATGTCCGCATGGGTGCCTTTTATTACCTCTTTACCAAAGCGGTACCTATTTATCTTCCTGTTTTCGAACTGCTTGGTGAGCAGAAGCTGGGCTGACAGTTGGGAGCTCACCCCAGCCTGAACTTGAACTGTCGACCTTATAATCTGCAAGATTTTCTGCAGCTGGCAGTTTAACCTGTGCTAAAGCCTGCCTGTGATATTGGGCAAGTCACACTCTCTTGCCTTAGAAAAAAGCATGGGCAAATTTGCTCTTAGGAAATTTTGCCCCCCCCCCCCCCCCCCCCCCACACACACACACAAAGAAAGAAATATTGGGATAGAGTCACCTTACAGTCACCCTAAGTCAGAAATTACTTGAAGGCACACTAGTAAGTGTAACTTGATATTGTCAGAGTTGTGAAAGTTATTTTAGAAGTAATAAGTTACCATTTCAGGTTCAGGAACACCCCCCCCCCCCAAAAAAAGTAATTATTTTTAATTGTTTTTTAAAAGTGTCTTCTAGCATTGTCGAAGGCTTTCATGGCTGAAATCACTGGGTTGTTGTAGGTTTTTTCAGGCTATATGACCATGTTCTAGAGGCATTCTCCTCTGACATTTCACCTGCATCTATGGCAAGCATCCTCACTGCCTCTGAGGATGTTTGCCATACATGCAGGTGAAACTTCAGGAGAGAATGCCTCTAGAACAGGGGTCCTCAAACTAAGACCCGGGGGCCGGATGTGGCCCTCCAAGATCATTTACCCGGCCCTTGCTCAGGTTCAACCTAAGTCTGAAATGACTTGAAAGCACACAACAATAACAACAATCCTATCTCATCAGTCAAAAGTAGGCCCACACTTACCATTGAAATACTAATAATTTTATATTTATTGAAATTGTTCTTCATTTTAATTATTGTATTGTTTTAAGTGTTTTTTGCACTACAAATAAGATATGTGCAGTGTGCATAGGAATTCATTCATGTTTTTTTCAATTATAATCCGGCCCTCCAACAGTTTGAGGGATTGTGACCTGGCCCTCTGTTTAAAAAGTTTGAGGACCCTTGCTCTAGAACATGGCCACATAGCCCGAAAAAACCCTCAAGAACCCACTGTCTTCTAGCATTATTCAAATACTACTTACTTTTCCCCTAAAAATAAATTATTATTATTATAATATTTATTTATACCCCGCTTTATCTCTCCCGATGGAGATTTGAGGCTACTTAACTTAAAAGCACTAGCATACAATTTAAAATACACAAATATGGAAACATGAAAACAGAATTAATATATAAACAGTATTAAAATTTTAAGGTTAAAAACCATTAAAATAAAATCAATATGTGACAAGCTTCTGGCTTGTAATAAAAAACATCAAACCCTAAGTAAGATTGGAGGCCACCGATGAATATCAGGTGCTATGGGCTATATTTCAGAAGAAGAAACTGCCAAACCCCTGTAAATATTCCTTGCCCTAAGAAAACTTATAGGTTGCCATAAGTTGACAGGCAACTAGAAGGCACATGCACTCGCAGGCATTCCACAAATCACATGCAACTATAAAAGATATTAAAAACAATTATAGTTACATTGCGACAGGAGTGATTTTTGATACAATAGCAATATAATACAGCTGTGCCCTAGTTATTGCAAAAGTGAATTAATTACAAGTAACATTTAAAACCTATAGAACTATTACATTAGACCCTGTCACGAGTAAGCTACAGGTAATGAAAGAGCCTGGACAGCCTTCTTAAGAGAGATGAGAAGGAATTGATGAAGAGTACTGTCAATAGCTGAGGGTTGCACTGGATTCGAGAAATCCCTTCACCCACCACCTTTTTTCCAGCTTGGAAGTGTTGGTCTAAAGGACAGCATTTGGAAAACAAGTTATTTTATGTATCTTGATGTCGTGCCCTAGGAAAGTTACTCATTGCACAAGCTTATCTAATAATAGATAATAGATACAGACACATGTTTCAAAGTCAAAACACAGTTGATCGAAACAATGCTGTGCAGTAGACCTGCAACATGTACACACATGTAGACACACACCTTTTAATATACAGTGATGAAACTCTGGCATAAGTGTATTATAAAATCAGAAGCTGGTTGGATAGCCTACGAGCAGGAACACTGGCAAGACGCCAAGTGTTGCGGTTCTGTGCTTTAATGCTTATCATTCCGGCACTCATGACGTCACCAGGAACTAACAAAAATCACACAGAAAATGTTCCAAGACATAAACGGACGGATTAAAAACAAACTTTAGCAAACTCTTCAGATCCACTTGGGAGGCTTTTGCTGGTGTCTTTGGCAAGTTTTAAAATACCAAGCTTGAATAAATATGTCAGTGGGCTGTTAAACCCCTGCCAAAAAGAAGTGAGTTAACTTTACAAGGGCAAGAAGAGAAAAAGAATCCAATGTTGTCCTATTTAGGAAACAACCAGGAGATGTACTTGAACTAGCATCAAGGCAGTTGCTGATGCTGTAGAGTCAGCATGATGGCTGATTGTGCCAGCACAAAAACAAAGGATGTTTCACTTTTCTGAATGTTGTGCGGATTCCTTCATGCCTGTTGAAGGTATCAAAAGAATTCTTTTTAAAACAACTCCCTTTTCTTTCAGAACTCACAGCTTGGGCTGTTCTGAAATGGGAAGAAAGTTCCAAAATGGGTCTAGGAATAAGAGCAGAGGGATAGCATACAGTTCGCCCTCTGTGTCCACAGATAAATGATATATAATAATAATATACTTTATTTATATTCCACCCTATCTCCCCGAGGGCACTCAGGGCAGATTACAGGAAACATATATGGCAAAATTTCAATGCCATTATACAAGTAACAGACAGTACATAAACAGATTTAAAGGCTTCCATCTTTTTCAATATCGGCATCTGGAGGCTGTGCTTGACTCTGGCCAATGGGGGTGCTGTTGCACCATCTTCCATGCCAAGGAGTTTTGCTATCTTTAGACCAGTGGTTCTTAACCTGTGGGCCACGAACCACTAGTTGGATGCAAGGATGAAAATCTGGTCCACAAGCCTCTTCTTTATTTATTTATTTTATTTTATTTTATTATTTTATTTTAGTTCCACTCCTTTTGCACTGCCTGCCACTCCTTCCCTATCACTGACCAGCTCCACCCCCTCGAATAGATTGCATCAGCTCTAGATTATTAAATATGGTTTTCTATGGGTGAGCAGATGGCAACTACTGGATTGCATATGTTTTGGATCAGAAACTAGATCTGATGTGGTCTATCCAATTCAGTTTTCTGTAACAGCACCCCAAATAACCCAACCAAATCTAAAGTTGACCAAAAACTGATTCATAACCCTTTTGGTACTAGTTGGAGAGTGGTCCCTGATCAAATAAATGTTAACCACTGATCAAATTTAGATACTCTCCTGATCAAATTGCCAGTATGTCTGCATGTATGCTTTTTATTACCTCCCTGCCATAGTGGTATCTATTTATCTACTCACATTACTGTTTTTGAACTGCTAGGTGAGCAGAAGCTGGGGTGATGGTTGGGAGCTCACCCCTACCTGGGCCTGAACTCTCCACCTAAAATCGGCAGGATTTTCTGCAGCTGGTGGTTTAACCTGATGTGCTAAAACTCAGCCTAGATTCCACCATCCATGGCTTAAAAATATTTCCCTTGGTCCTCCAAAATTCCAAAGATTTTGCTAGATTATATAAGGAACACCATTTTACTGTGTCATTTTATGTAATGAGTCTTGCACAGACACAGATTTTGTGTGGGCAACCAAATCCGAGCAGATATGCTGGCTGCTCTCAGAGGGAGAGCAGGGGAAACTCTTTTGGTATGTGTTGTGGCTGAGAGGGTGGCCTTCTTTCTCAGTGTGTGGGATTGAACGTGTGGGATGGTGCATCATGCCAAGCTTCATGTTCCCAGGGATGTTGTTACTTATAAGATTCCCCCCCCCCCAACTTGGCTCTTGCCCTGAGAGAAAAGGGGTGAGTGAGTACAACCTTTACACTTACTTTCCCAGAGAGGTGCCCATATGTTGAAGTTCACTTTCCCAGAGAGGTGCCCATATGTTGAAGTTTGTTTCCCCAAAAAGCTCCAAAATTGTTCACTTGGGTGATGAGATATCTTTCAAATATTTTGTCTCTAGAGATGCTGTTGGTCAACTTCCAGCATCGTAGCTTTATTGTTTGTTGTCTATATGTGTACAGTGCAATCCTATGCGTGTTTACTAAGAACCCATGTTGTGCTGTTCAGCAACCAATAATAATGGCATGAGGGTGAAGCCAAAATTGGACATTACTTGGAGTCTCAACTAGCTCAATATGTATCAGTGTGTTTCCAAAAAAAATCTACTGTGTGTCCTGATTATAGTCATTAGATGCACTCCATAATATTAACATTTCTTTGGAAATTGACTAATTGCATATCGATATCTAGTATTTACTTTGAATTGTAGATGGATCTTTTTCCCTACTGCCCCAGATATCTCTCTTGCCATAACAACCATAAGACCGATGGCAACACCCAGGGCAACAGGAACCTCCACTTCTGAATCCTGGTTTTGACATTGCATTTTCATTGTAAGAGACCAGCTTGGCAGAGCAGCCCTTTTTGTAATGCTTTTCTAGTATTTCCATCTTGAGTTATGTGATTATAAAGTCATATCCCAAGCAAATTGCTGAGGCTCTTCCAGATTGCACATTAGTGAGTTGTTAAGAATCAATAAACTGCTGCTGGGTTATTAAAAATGCACTGATAAGCTGGGACCTAAATATGACTTTCTTGTGTGCAGAGCATTCTCTTGTGGTGGAAAATTTCACAAGGCACCTTCCCCTTTCTTTTTAAAAGGAAACCTTTGTGTTTGGCATCCCCCCAAAACTCTGTAAATTCCCAAATAAGACTGGAAATCACAGAATAGCTCTTTCTCGCCCCTTGGGTAGGGTAAGTGGCAGTGGGGAAATTCACAAGCTTTTTTCGATTCATGTAATTAGAATAAAAAAACAAAGACTGCTCTTCCAACCTTTATTAAGAACAATATATCTGTTTTTGCTCAGAGCAAAATTACACTATTCCCCTCTCACTGGGAGCTAGATTTTAATTAAATGTAATTATGTCATACTGTAGACCCAAGCAGGGCAAAACAAAGGTAGAACAATAATAACAAAGGAGTCATTAGATATAATGAAGAAGATGGACCCGTGACCAAAGATCTAAATCTTTAGTCCCTAGCCTCAGAACTATGGTTGAAGCCTGAGTGACTCGGTAATGAAGGAAGTATAATTTCCATCTCTCTCCTGCAATGCCTCACTGGAAGTTGCTGCTAAATCCTTCTTTGACCACTAAAATTGGATTCGAAGCCATATGCAACAAAACAGGGAAATACTTTGCCACATGATACTTTATTACTGCACTAGCTTGGGTACTCGCCATTTCTTGAGTTATTTTTGAAAAGTCAAATTTTTAATTGTGGATTAACTACAATATCATGCCAGGTTGACCCTGAGAAACTCCATTAGTACTTAAAGTTTATTATGTTGGGCAAGTTTACTCTAGATGCATCATCAGTGGGCTCTCTGGCTGTAGGGTAAATTACAACTTCTAAGTCAGTCCCCTCAAACCCCTCTAGTAGATTGAATTAGTCAGGGGATGGACCTGGATCAAGTTTGGTCCAGGTCCATCATCGGTGGAGGTCACAGTTTCTCTCATGTGGGTAAACTACAACTTCCAGAAAAGAATGTTAGTTCCTCCCAAACCCTTCCAGTAATGAATTTTCAGCATATCAGGGTATGTATACCAAGTTTGGTCCAGACCCACTAGTGTTTAGGTTCACAGTGGTCTCTAAATATAGGTGAACTACAGCTCCCCCAAATTAAGGTGAATTTCCCCCAAAGACCGCAAGTATTTTTGCCTGTCATTGAGGCTCTGTGTGCCAAGTTTAGTCCAATCTTTGGTGGCTTGGAGTGTTCATTGATTGCAGGTGGACTATAAATCCCAGTACCTACAACTCCAATATGTCCAGGCAAATTCCCCTCAAAACCCACCAGTATTCAAATTTGGGCCTATCGGGTATGCATGCCAAGTTTTCTCCAGATCCATCATCGTTTGGGTTTATAGTGTGCTCTGGATATAGGTGAACTACAACTCCTAGAAATCCCTCCAAAGACCTCCAGTATTTTTTGTTGGTCATGGAGGTTCTGTGTGCCAATTTAGTTCTAGGTCCATTGTTGGTGGGGTTCAGAGGTTCTTAAATTGCAGGTGAACTATACATCCTAGTATCTACAACTCCTATAAATCATAGTGAATTCTCCCTGGACCTCTCCAGTATATTTACTTGCTGATCAATTCCTCTCTGTTTGCTGCATGCCATAGAAAAGAGTAGGAAAGGGTTTTATGGGAGAGGCAGTGGGTGGGATAATGCAAATTCCACACCAATGGAGAGAGTAAGAAACATTGGGATGTCTGTGCTGGAGGAAACACATAAAATCTAGGATGAAATTGTCCCCATATGAAATCCTTCACTTGGATGGTGGGCAGTATGGTGTTTGTGGATGACATTGGCAGGACTCTTGTACATGTTCATGGCGCTCACTAGAACCTGCAGTGTCATTGGAGGGAAGGACTTTGGTGTCTCCTGAGTAGTGGGAGCTGTAGCTGTTTGTGGAGGCAGGAGTTTGTTTCTGTAAGTGTAGTACTAGTGTTATGAATGATGTAATAGTACTATACTAGTTATGTATTATGTAGTATGTTGTATGTACTTATGACTTGTAAGCCACTCTGAGTCCCCTTCGGGGTGAGAAGGGCGGCATATAAATGTCGTAAATAAATAAATAAATAAAATAATAATACCCCAGCCATACATACATACATACATACATACAAACACATTTTTACTTTTATTATGTGTATAGATTGAAAGATTTATGTATCCTCTGTGTACAGATTGTCTTGAAATACAAATGTGAAAAGTGATGGAAATGGTAACAGATCCCAAATAAAGTATTATACACACATTCTACCATTTCATGTAACTTTCTAATATGTCTGTAAGGGAAGGAGAATGGACAGGAAGTTGACTTCTAATTAAGGCCACTTTATTTTTTTCATTTTTGTCCAGCTAGTCACGCAAAGATTTTGACTATTATGCACATCCTATTATCTAGAAATCCTCGTCCAAAAAGATCGTCGATTGACTGCTCTGATTTTTCTTAGGCAAAACTCAAGTCTTTTGCTGCCAAGATCATACAGCTCCTCAAGGAATGGACTGAAACATTTCCCTATGACTTCCAGGACGAGAAGTCTATGAAAGAGCTAAAAGAAATTGCTCACAGGATCACACAATGTGATGAGGTAAGGATGCTCATCCAGGTAAAAGAACAGCCCCCATTGCTGAGTCTATAAGTTGTCTTTTTCATTTTGAAAGTCTCCTTTCCCAAATTATTGTTCACTGCTAGAAGTATTCTTTTCGTTGTGTGTGCATTTCCTTGGCAAACTGCCTGTCTTTGGATGCTTGAGCTGTATATCTAAGTGCTCAGTTGAAGTTTCAAGTTACTGCATTGCTAAAAACAAGGACTGAAGAAAAATCTCAGGGATGAAAGTAAAACTCTCTCCCCTTGTCCCCTTGGTAGCTACACCCCTGCTTCTAATGGTGCCAAAGTCAAAAGCCTGCACTTGGCTATTAATCTGGCATGAAGAATTTGGTTTTCACGTTGGGGAAATAAAGCTACATGCTGGAAACATTAACAGAAATCGAAAGGCTCTAACTAGCTCCCTGAGGAGCTATAGCACGATTCTGCGCTTGTTTACTCAGAAGTCCTGCTCAGCTCTGTGTTTACTTCCTAAGCCGAATGTGGTTAGACATGCAGCCAAAATAGGAGAGTAACAAAAGGCTTTAAAAAAAAAGGCTATTCAGGATATATTTTGAGATTAGCCAAAGGGCTTTGAGAATGATTGCATAGATACTAGTTAAGATTTTTTTTAACAGCGAAAGATTTGACAACGGCTTTGACACCATCACGGGACAATAAGTGGTGATGTTAAAGGTGTTAACCAGGACAGCCTGACAAGTTTCGGTTTGTCAGCAATGTTGTTTATCAGAATGTCATTCCGATGTCACAACCTGAAGGCAAACGGATATGATTAAAGTGCTACTATTCGTTTTCAAAAGTGTATGCATGGGCATGCTCTTGCAAAGCTTACAAAAAAGCAAAAGAAAAAATTCTGATGTTTTATGTTTTGTTTTAATTATGAGGATAAATTTCCCAGATTTTTTTTTTTGTCGTGTCAGGAGTGACCTGAGAAACTGCAAGTCGCTTCTGGTGTGAGAGAATTGGCTGTTGCCCAGGGGACGCCTGGATGATTTTTGATTTTTTATCATCCTTGTGGGAGTCTTCTCTCATGTTCCCACATGAGGAGCTGGAGCTGATAGAGGGAGCTCATCCGCCTCTTCCCAGATTCGAACCTGCAACCTGTTGGTCTTCAGTCCTGCCAGCATAGGGGTTTAACCCACTGCGCCACCGGGGGCTCCTAATTTCCCAGATGGGAGATTGTCAGATAGCAATTGTTGTTGTTTTCAAATTTTTTTAAGAAATTTAACTTAGTAGGGCCCTTCCAAAAAGGTCCTATATTCCATGATCTCATCGCAGGTTTTCTGTTTATCCCAGATTATCTGGTAGTGCGGACTCATATAATCCAGTTAAAAGCAGAAAACCTGGGATCAGATCCTGAGGTAAAAGGCCCTTAGGCTATAGAAAGGGCTTACAAGTATGGCAAGGCAGTAAAACTATATCAAGATCAGGATACGATATGTGTGGCAGACTCAAGGGACTTATGAAGAAAAACAGCAAAATATAAGTCTATCTGCCTCCTTACAAAGTTGAAACAGTGTTCGACATACTGCAGACCATTGACCTTTTTAATTAGAATGGTTTGTGCAATCTTGGCACTTTTAAATGGGAACAGTGTCCAATTAATCAAGAACTGAAACTAGCATTAAAGTAGTGATTTAGAAAATCCTAACTGCTTAAGTGTTCATATCTGCTCTCATAGATATAAGTACAGAAAATGGTTTTGGGGCAGGCTAAGGTGGAAGTGCGTGTGGAAATGTGTGTGGAAATGATAATGAAATACCCACGAGTCTTTGTTGTGTGAGTAGGTGACAAAGACTTGGACTTTAAACAGAGCAGAAGTGGTCATAGGAAAGCTTTCACATTAGACTGCAGTTTTTCAGTACTCCCTTCTGTAAAAAAACTGCACAAGTGGCAGGATATCACAATAGGAAAAGGTTTCATCTAGAACATTGGTTCCCATCCTTTTTTTGACCAGGGATCATTCTCCAACGTTAGTACCAAAAGGGTTACAAATCTGCTTTTGGTCAACTTTAGATGTCAATTCCTTTTCTACGGAGCACATGGACAGCAATAAGTTGGGAAGAACTGTGTTCTAGTAGTGATAACATGTCCGTAGTCTGTAAAATGAAGAAAGCAGATTCAAGTTGCTCATCACTTATTTAAGCAAGCAAAGGGAATTACTTCCAGTTGCCTTAAAATTTCCAACATTATAGGTCCTTCTCCCTGCCCTCCAGTTCCCCATCTATGGAATTTCCCTCCTTCTAGCAATGCCCACTCTCAAAAGTCAAATATGTAAAAGAAAAACAGTCAAATCACCTTTGTTTACTGCTCAAAAACTCCATGTTATCCCTCCTCATTTTCTTGCCTCTCCTCTCTCCCCAAAAGGTTACTGAGAGTGCTATACGTTGGAATTTTTTTCCATGTCAGGAGCGACTTGAGAAACTGCAAGTCACTTCTGGTGAGAGAGAATTGGCTGTCTGCAAGCATATTGCCTAGGGGACGCCAGGATGTTTTGATGTTTTACCATCCTTGTGAGAGGCTTCTTTCATATCGCCGCATGGGGAGCCAGAGCTGACAGAGGGAGCTCATGAGACTTGCAGATTATTTAAAGACAGTCTCTGGGTTATGAACAAGATAGATTCTGTATGTTTGTTCTTAAGTTGAATTTATATGTAAGTCAGAACAGGTACAAGGATTTGTGATAAAGCTTCAGTGGAGACACTCTTTTCCCATAATAACTCTTCCAGGAGTGAATTTTCCTTCCCAGAGGTAGATGGAGGCCCAGGTCTCCGCCATCAGCAGAACTGCTTTTTTTCATCTGCGGCAGGCTAGGCGGCTGGCCCCATACCTGTCCAGGGACGACCTAGCTACGGTGATCCAGGCTACGGTCATCTCAAGACTGGACTACTGTAACGCCCTCTACATTGGCCTTCCTCTGTCGGTGATCCGGAAGCTCAAGTTGGTACAAAATGCAGCTGCTCGGCTTCTTGCGGAATGAGATGCCACATAACACCAATCTTACTACAGCTGCATTGGTTACCAATTGAGCACAGGATCACTCTCAAAGTGATGGTACTCACCTTTAAGGCCTTGCATGGTCTGGGGCCGATGTACCTGAGGGACCGCCTCACCCCCTACCAACCCCAGAGATCCCTCCGTTCTGAGGACCAAGATCTATTGGAAATTCCCAGTGTCAAGACCTTGCGTCTAACAGCAACCAGACGCAGAGCCTTTACAGCAGTGGCACCATCACTCTGGAATACTCTGCCACCTGAAGTCCGTGCCTTGCGGGACTTATCAGCTTTCCGCACGGTATGTAAGACATATCTGTTTCAACAGGCCTTTGATTTTAATATTGCTGTTTTTAAATTGTTTTAAATTGTTTTTAAATTGTGTTAGATTTTAGCCTGTTCTTGTAAGCCGCTCCTAGCCCCAGGGGAGTGGTGGCATATAAATTCGAATAATAAATAAATAAATAAATAAATAAATAAATTTCCTCTCACTTCCTGTTGTCTCACCCTGTATGTAACTAGGAGTCAAATATAAGTCAGATGTTTGTAACTTGGGGATTGTATTGATTTCTGCAGAAATGATGTACATTTGAAACATTGCACATAGAGACAGGCAAATTAAGACTCACATGTATCCCTTCCCAAATACTACCAAAGGTTAGCCACATGTGAGAAAAGAAGACGAGACTTGGTCAATGGTTCTACTTTGACCATAAGTATGTCTCAGTCATAGTTCTCACTTCCCCTTTCCTGCCTTCAAAACTAAATGTTAGCAGCACTATTTCCAGGATTTTAGGGGCTGTCAGAAAAGGCAGTCCACAATGCTAGAAGCAGTGAGGCATGCAAACCAATATTTCTGTTTTGTTATCTCAGTGCTTCCTGAATGTTCAATGCAAAGTGAGAATGGCAGTGAGGGAGAACCTCTAGGATTTAAACAGGCAAAGCTGAACTATTTTCCATCTTATCACTGTAATGTAGAGTCTTTTTTCCCATATTTAAGTCTTTATAAGCAGTCCCCGAGTTACAAACAAAAAACCTACAAATGAGCCATAGTTAAGAACAGAGGTGAGACAATAGAAAGTGGGAGAAATCTACCCCTCGAAAGGGAAATTCACCCCTGAAAGAGTTATCACTGGGAAAAGGTGTCTCCGCAGAAGCTTTCTCAGCAATCCTTGTTTCCAAAACAAGCCAAAATTTTCAACTCCTATCATCACAGGGACAGAAAGTATGGGAAAATCTTCTGAACAGGGGCACGGACAGCAACACAAACACCACAGGAGTGTTAACCCTTTCCTATGCTATCCAAAGCTGTGTGTGCTCTCTCTCTATATGTGTGTGTGTGTATGTGTGTTACTTTAAAATGTACCTGTTCTGACTTACATACAAATTCAACTTCAGAACAAACCTATAGAACTTATTTATTTCCTATATTTATACCCCGTTCTTCTCCCCCTGAAGGGGGACTCATCTTGTTCATAACTTGGGGACTGCCTGTACTTGTGTCACAATCAACATATATTATGCATCGTTGGAGCAAGGGATTTTTCCATCCAATCTGAAACAGGCTGTGGTTCGGCCACTCCTCAAAAAAGCTTCCCTTGACTCCACGGTGCTGAGTAACTACAGGCCAATCTCCAACCTCCCTTTTTTGGGTAAGGTGCTGGAGCGGGTGGTCGCCTCCCAGCTCCAGAGTTTCTTAGACGATACCAACTACCTAGATCAGTCACAGTCTGGTTTCAGGCCTGGTCATGGTACCGAGACAGCCTTGGTCGCCTTGGTGGATGACCTCCGCAGAGAGCTGGACAGGGGGAGTGTGACTCTGCTGGTTCTCTTGGACATCTCAGCGGCTTTCGATACCATCGATCATGGTATCCTTCTGGGTCGTCTCTCTGGGATGGGCCTCGGGGGCGTGGTTCTGTCGTGGCTCCGGTCCTTTCCTGGAGGGACGAACCCAGATGGTGAAGCTGGGAGACGCCTGCTCGGACCCCTGGCCTTTGACCTGTGGGGTCCCGCAAGGCTCTATTTTGTCGCCCATGCTTTTCAACATCTACATGAAACCGCTGGGAGAGGTCATCCGGAGTTTTGGAGTTGGTGCCATCTCTATGCAGATGACACACAACTCTACTACTCCTTTCCACCTAACTCCAAGGAGGCTTCTCGGGTGCTGGACGAGTGCCTGGCCGCTGTGTCGATCTGGATGAGGAAGAACAAGCTGAAGATCAATCCCGACAAGACAGAGGTCCTCCTGGTCGATCGTAAACTGGATCGGGGTATAGGGTGGTTACCTGTGTTGGACGGGGTTACACTCCCCCTAAAGCCACAGGTCCGCAGTTTGGGTGTCCTCTTGGATTCTTCGCTCACACTTGAGGCTCAGGTGTCGGCGGTATCCGGGAGGGCCTTTGCGCAACTGAGACTTGTGCGCCAACTGCGACCATACCTCGTGAAGGCTGATCTGGCCGGGGTGGTCCACGCCTTGGTCACCTCTAGAATGGACTACTGCAATGCGCTCTACGTGGGGCTACCCTTGAAGACGGCTCGGAAACTTCAATTGGTCCAGCGGGCAGCAGCCAGAATGTTAACTGGGGCCCATTATCAAGAGAGGTCTACCCCTCTGTTTAAGGAGCTCCACTGGCTGCCATTTATTTTCCGAGCCCAATTCAAGGTGCAGGTGCTCACCTACAAAGCCCTAAACGGTTTGGGACCACCCTACCTGCGTGACCGCATCTCCATCTACGAACCCACACGCTCACTCCGATCATCTGGGGAGGCCCTGCTCGTGATCCCACCCACGTCGCAAGCGCGCTTGGTGGGGACACGGGACAGGGCCTTCTCTGTGGCGGCCCCCCGACTTTGGAATGCCCTTCCAAAAGATCTCCGACAGGCCCCTACCTTAGCAGTTTTCAGAAGGAATTTAAAAACCTGGCTGTTCCGTTGTGCCTTCTCAGATTAGGAATCCCCAGCCCAAGTCCTAGTAGCACTTTAGCACAATCTAATGTTGCTGCACACCGCACTTTTAATCCACGTTCCTCCTACCATTTCAGCACTTTTAATCCCTGTACCCCATTGCGCCGGCCGAACCAGTTTTAATAATGTCTTGATGTATTGTCGTTGTTTTGCTTAACTGTTTGATTTGCTTTATTTGCTTGATTGTATTGTTATGTTGTGTTGTTGAGGCCTCGGCCTGTGTAAGCCGCATCGAATCCTCTGGGAGATGCTAGCGGGGTACAAATAAAGTTAATAATAATAATAATAATAATAATAATAATAATAATATATTTAGAATTACATCAGTGTCCTTACTCATTGAGAAAATTCTCAGCAAATTTGAATTATACATTCATTTCCAAAAGGCTTTGATGATCAAGTCAAATCTCTGAGAACCTAATCAGCTCATGAGTTTACCTGATAGTCAATTGAAATTTTCCAGTAATTTATCCAGAAATTCATCGACCTCAGACAATCCAGAGTTCTTGATTTCACTGACAAAAGCTATTCTGCTTTTTGGTTTAGGAAAATGGAACAGTCAAGAAGATCATTAGCCAGATGACACAGAATCTGCTGATGAGCCTTGCCGCACGCAATCAGTTCCAGGAGATCCGAGAAAAATTCCGCCAACCAGTGACAGACAAAGGCACAATCCTTAAAAATAAGCCTCAGTCATCACAGAAGGACATTCTGAGTGTTTGCTGTGATCCACTAATACTTGCACAGCAGCTAACACACATCGAGCTGGTGAGTGAACCTCTGTTCCTTTGTTTGAGGGAATGCTGTTGCAATAAGAACAGAGGACACAGCGCCACTGTTTATCTTCCTGTCAATGCAGCCATCATCCTGCCCTCACTGTCTCTTCCCCTTCTGCTCATCCTGCTCCCTGTATCTGCCCTGGAGACCTTCATTCCATTACCTTGCCTCTGCTCACTTGAGTGAGTGAATGAATGAATGTGTGAGGGAATGCTCATGCATGTGGATACCCTTATTCATGTTCCCCTTTGCCTTCTCTTTGCTCATGTGAGTGAATGCACCCTCTCTTGTCACAGTTACCCAACCACTTCTTTCCTGTCCTCCTGAGCAAGTGAATGTGAGAGGGAACATGATTGTGTTAAGGCCTAGCCATTTTGCCAGCACAGCTCCTTTTTGTGTATATTACGAGGGTTGAATGAAAAGTAATGCCTCCACCTTCGTAACTCCTCAACAGATGGCAGTACTGGTATGCGGCAGGTACTGGCTTGTTCAGAAGACTCTCCTCTACAGTTCCATTTTGGCAGAAAGCCTTAGTATTAAACGGTTTTGTTGTTAAAGTGCAAAGTATGGAACCCTGTGCAGACGGTCGGTCAATGCAACTTAAGCAACGTGCAGTCATTGAATTCTTGACCCCAAAGGTGATTCATCAGAGAATGCAAGCTATTTATGGTGATTATGTTGATGTGAATACTGTGCGTCATTGGGCCAGTAAGTTTAAAGATGTTGAGGTGACACCTTCTGCTGTCAAGAATTCAATGACTGCACATTGCTTAAATCACACTGACAGACCGTCTGGGCAGGGTTCCATACTTCGCACTTTAACAACACAACCATTCAATTCTAAGGCTTTCCCCAAGATGGAACTGTAGAGGAGAGTCTACTGAACAAGCCAGTACCTGCTGCATATTAGTACTGCCATCTGTTGAAGTTATGAAGGTGGAGGCATTACTTTTCATTCAACCATCATAAATACGATGGCAGGTGAAGGTAGGGTAGAGATATTAACAATTTACCCGTTTTCCCAGGCCCCCATGAAATTGGAGGGCCAACTGTACTTTCCCTACTCCCCACACATGCCCCATTCTCAAGTTCCCACAACCTTCCTCCTTCAAGGAAGTGAAGAATCTAGCCAGAAATGACATCTTACTTCTAGTAAGTGAGAAAGTAACTATGCAGCCTTGCCAGGAAGCATGGGGGAATTTTGGTTCCTGATCCCTCCACAGCTGCCCTTCTCTGCTGTAAAACAAACTATAAATGCATACATTTTTTAAAACTCTGGTTATATTTCCTACTACTATCCTTATGCCAACAGAACCTGCTTTAAGATAATTATTTCAGGGCAAGTCACATATGCCCATAGCATAGGAGCGCCTAATGAAAGCAGAACTATTTTCCTTGGCTCATAGTTCCTAAAGTCTCAGTCACATATTTCTGCTGCCTTCCACACAGCAGGGTTCTGGATATTAAGTGAATATGCAGCAGCAACCACACCTATTTCTCTACCTCAGTGGCTCTTCCACCGACCATTCTCTGCACTTTGCTCTGCAATGCTGCTGGAGGGGGAATGGGTGGGCAGCAGGGAAAGAGGTGTCACTACTGCCTATGCTCTTACTGGCCCCAAGCTTTCAAAGAAATTCCAGGATAGCAATTAGCAATTCAATAGGATCCAGCTTGGCTTGTTTTTGTCTTCTCCGCAAGCAACACTGAGGCAGTTCAGAGGCAGAAAAAAAGGTGACAAAAATGTGTGTAAGAGAGAAGAAGTGTTTGCTGCGTCTTCTACAGGACCCCAACCTTTTACCAAGGAGAACTGAAGCCTGCCTGACATAGTCTTTTATACTCATTTCAGTTAGGATCTGCCTCCACAGGGATACCTGTCAATACATAACTCTGTTCCTTGTCTGTAGGCTTGTAATCTTGACAGTTTTTTTTCATCTGTCTTGCTTCATGCAGGAGAGGGTGAGCAATATTTATCCCGAGGACCTCATGCAAATAGTCAGCCACGTGGACTCCCTGGATAATCACAAGGTATGTGCAAACTATGCAAGGAATGGCAACAGGAAACAGAAAGGGCCACAGGTGAAATTGCACACGTAGGAGCAAAGACTGTTTAAAATCAGGGCAGGTCAACTGTATATTTAAATGTATATGTCTATATATAAACACCCCGTAGGTACTATCCCATTTGGCAGGTTTTAGGGTGTATAGTATTTCATTATTTTACTGGCCATTACTCCATGTTCTGGCACAAACACTGAGTATTAACCAATATCTAACTGGAACCTTCATGTTCCATGGCAAAATACCCCAGAATACCAATGCTTAGAAATAATAAGGGAGGAGCATCATTGCCTTCATGCTCAGCCTGTGACTTTCCAAAGTCACCTGAATGGCCTCGGTTTGAACCAGAATTTAAGATTAGATAGTTCTGTCTTTATGCCAACAACATTGTCTTTCCCCTTTCCCCCCTCTTTCTTGATATTCCATAACAAAAAGATAGGACATGTATTGATGTTGCTTTTCACCCGATTTAAAAAATGCCCTATTAGTAATACACTGACATAAAGACATGTCCTTTCCTTTATTCCTGGATACCACTTAGGCCATTTGTAACCTTTCATCAATTGAACTGTGGTAATAACACATAGTGCTTGAAGTTATCAAAGCATCACTCAAAATTTACTTTAGCAATAATTGTGACAACCTTGGTCTGTATTATAACCCAGTAGCGCAGAAGCTGGGAGCAGAAGTTGAGAGAAGCCATCCAGTGGCTTAGTGGCTGGAGTGAGATTTATTGTATAAAAAACACAGGTTCAGAGCTCTAAAGTCCAAGACACTATTCCATAGATTGTGTGAAAACCTTGGTTATTAGATCTCCAGTGCAAATTATTTGGTCATCCAATATTTGATAGTGGGAGTCTAAGGACCCTTCTAGACAGAAGTGTCTTTAAAAATCGCAGGGCCTTAAGGAGAGACCAGACACGGAAATGTTAGTCCAGTTAAATGGTCCCCTGGCATCCTGACTGGTTCAGTTGTAGCGGTTTTAGAAATCATAGAATCATAGAGTTGGAAGAGACCTCATGGGCCATCCAGTCCAAACCCCAGCCAAGAAGCGGGAAAACTTCATTCAAAGCACCCCCGACAGATAGCCATCCAGCCTCTGTTTTAAAGCCTCCAAAGAAGGAGGCTCCACCACACTCAGGGGCAGAGAGTTCCACTGCTGAATGGCTCTCACATTCAGGAAGTTCTTTCTAATGCTCAGGTAGAATCTCCTTTCTTGCAGTTTGAAGCCATTTTTCTGTGTCCTAGTCTCCAGGGCAGCAGAAAACAAGCTTGCTCCCTCCTCCCTATGACTTCCTTTCACATATTTATACATGGCTATCATGTCTCCTCTCAGTCTTCTCTTCTTCAGGCTAAACATGCCCACAAGATGGACCCAGGACAGCCACCAGAAGTTTACTTTTACTTTTTTTAAATTGATCCTCAAAGATGGGCTGGGCCTCATAAGTGCTGATGTGGAAATCTGAATGTGCACACAAGCAGATTTCTTGTCATTGTCTCTCCTCCCCCTCCTGCTGCCTTTACTTTTTCCCTTTTGAACCCTGTTTCCCTTTGGGGTCACTTGCCTGCCATGCTGACTGTAAATTCAAGCTCCATTTAATATCATAAACATGAGAACAAAAGAATGCTTGCAGAAAGTTCTCATGGGAATTGCTTTCCAGTTGTGCTTCCATTTAGCCACCTGTATGTCTGTTGGCTCCATTTGTTTACAGCCCTCGTCAACTGTTTCAGGATTTTAAAATGCAGACATGTGCTGGAGCAGTCCACACCAGCATATAGGAAAGAAGTTGCATGTTTCTTTTTTCTAGAGTCCAGGGATATATAGTCGTGCAAATATTTTTTGGCCCAAAAAGGATTTCAAGCTCACTTTTAAACATGTTTTTCAGCCATTAATGCTGAAAAATCCTTTTATTCTGGTTTCTTCCACATTTTAGGGCCCCAAAAAAGCAAGGGTTTAAATATTGAAATTATATATTCCTGAAAATGAAATGTAAAGAAGACTGTAACCCACAGGGTTTAGCCTCTTAGTTTAGGAACATTTTAAAGTTCCTGAACTGTCACACGGAGCTTCCTGTTGATAATGTAATGTGGAATGGAAGTGTTCTCCCTCCTAAGTATACTGCTCTTTCTTTGCTAGCTTAGGCTTCCAGTATAGCTGAAGGAGTCTTTCTCTTTCTTGCCATAGTTTATCAAGCCAGAATTAAGGGAATTTTTTTCTACAATACATTTTTTTCTAGATCTAACAATTTCCACTCACTCTGCCCTGCACATTACTGGTAGTCTGTTGATGTTTTCCCCAGCTGTGAGTGGGGTGGGAGCTATTTATCTGTAAGTAGCTCCCACGTAGCTGAAAGAACAACTAAAAGGGCACCTGACATAGCAGTTCTTCTCTGCAACTTAGCAATTATGGAATCCAGAGGTCAAGGAGTCTTCTGGGATATTGTACAAGACTGGGATCTGTCTAGACACAACAGCAACAAAAGATTAAATAGCATAATTCACAAAAGCCCTTTCGCTTTTGTGCTTCATTCTTTAAAGTTCCAGGGAATACATATTACACAAAGTTAGGTTTTTTTAAAACCTGCTTTCAGGTTTAAAAACATTTCTGAATTTCTCCATTGTTATGTATAGGGAAGGCAAGAGGGGATGCACATACGTCTTGGTAGACAACAAATAGTAATACTACAGAACATGCTGTTCAACTTTTTGATCAGACGATTCAACTGCTATAGAAGAAGCAAACTCCGCACTGCAGTTTTCCTGTTGTCTTTTCAAAGGCGTTTGAAGGCAATGAGCAAACCTTTTCCTCCTTGGATAAACATATGCAGAAAAGAAAATTAGAAATTTGTGACCCTATCTCTGAAAGCTCAGGTCATTTCTCTGAGTAGATAGAACAAGAATTCAAACTACTGTCAAGAAGGCCATTTAAAATGGATAATACATATGCCACTAAGATACTTTGATTATTAGAGATGCTCAAAATGTTTGGGCTTTTAAAACACAGAATGCAGGATAAAGAAATTCTCTTTCCAGTAGGAGGTCAGCAGGGCTAACACAGTCATAATAAAACATAATGGAATTTTGAGCTGCGATCTTTCTTTCTGCCATCCATTCCCACCTTTGAATCATATTACTGGAGTATTTCCAGCTACTGACAGGGACCTGTTTCTGTGTGTGAAAATGCAAACAGAGTGGGTGGAATTGGAAACAACTGGGTTCAGATTTCTTTTATTGTCTTTTTTACAAGTGCAAAATAAAAATATATTTCATAAAATTTCCTTTTTCAGTGCCGAGGTGATGTTACCAAGACCTACAATCTGGAAGCCTACGACAACTGGTTTAATTGTCTCAGTATGTTGGTTGCTACGGAGATTTGTAAGGCAAGTATATATTAGGAGAGGTGCCACTGGGTATTCTGTTTGCTTTGGCTTATCTATCAATAATAATAATAATAATAATAATAATAATAATAATAATAATAATAATACACTTAGAGCACATCAAGCTACTCTGGGACTTCTGAATTCAATACTCGTGACCTCACAATTGTGTTAAAAAACCAAGTATAGATTGTCAATGTTGCAATCCCAGGTGACAGCAGGATTGAAGAGAAACAACTGGAAAAGCTGACATGATATGAGGATTTAAAGATCGAACTGCAAAGACTCTGATGCAAGCCAGTCAGGGTGGTCCCAGTGGTGATTGGCACACTGGGTGCAGTGCCTAAAGACCTTGGCCTGCACTTAAACACAATCAGCGCTGACAAAATTACCATCTGTGAGCTGCAAAAGGCCACCCTACTGGGATACATCACATAGTCCTAGACCAGTGACGGGCAACCTTTTGAGCTTGGTGTGTCAAAATTTGCCAAAAACCTGAGCATAACTTGGGTGGGGTGTSAACTTCAAGAAAAAAACCCCATAATTTTGCAATATTTATAGTTTAAGTAAGAAAAATGTATATTCCATGCTGAGTTATAGAGTGAACAATGCTCACACGTGCAGATGTTAAATTTGTAGAGCCTTTTACAAATTTAAGKATGGAATTAGATTGGCTCTTATAAGGTGTACTTCTCTGTAAGCATGTGGCCACGTGTCATCAAAAATAGCCATGCGTGTCAGTGCTGACACGCATGTCATAGGTTCACCATCACGGCCCTAGACACTTGGGAAGTGTCTGATGTGTGATCCAATACAACAACCAGCATAATGATCTTGTTTGCTGTGTACTAATCTTGTTGTGTTTCAAATAATACACTTTATTTATATTCCACTTTATTTCCCTGGAGGGACTTAGAGTGGATTGCAGTACACATATAAGATAATCATTCAATGCCTTTTACACATTGAACAAAGACATACACTACAAAGACAGACACAGGTAAAGGCCTTCCACTTCCATCTCTGGCGTCTGGGCAAGATCCTCAACTCCAGCCATGGGGAGGTGCTCTTGTTCCATTTTTCCATGCTGAGGAGCCTGTTGTCCGTAGACATCTATCTATCGATTGATCTATATTTATTTGTATGTTTGTACCACAAAGGCTGTTGCTACGTGAAGTGGCCCTCTGTGATGTCACTTGGGGGAAAAAGATAACATGTGTATGAGGGGAAGGGAGGAAGAAAGGAAAGAGCCACTAAGAGAGCCTGCCCACCATTGCCAGTGTTGACACAGAGACATTGTAGATAGACCCTCTTAGAGCTGGGGAAGGGAGTTAAGTAGGTGGACAGTGATCCCAATGACACCCAGGCAATGCTGGCTATACTGTATATACCCTAGTATTTTGGTGTAACTAGAATCATAGAATCAAAGAGTTGGAAGAGACCTCATGGGCCATCCAGTCCAACCCCCTGCCAAGAAGCAGGAATATTGCATTCAAATCACCCCTGACAGATGGCCATCCAGCCTCTGTTTAAAAGCTTCCAAAGAAGGAGCTTCCACCACACTCCGGGGCAGAGAGTTCCACTGCTGAACGGCTCTCACAGTCAGGAAGTTCTTCCTCATGTTCAGATGGAATCTCCTCTCTTGTAGTTTGAAGCCATTGTTCCTTGTCCTAATCTCCATGGAAGCAAGTAAACAAGCTTGCTCCCTCCTCCCTGTGGCTTCCTCTCACATATTTATACATGGCTATCATATCTCCTCTCATCTTTCTCTTCTTCAGGCTAAACATGCCCAGCTCCTTAAGCCACTCCTCATAGGGCTTGTTTTCCAGACCCTTGATCATTTTAGTCGCCCTCCTCTGGACACATTCCAGCTTGTCAATATCTCTAACTGATTTCAGACTGCCTTGGCTGAAACTCTGTGAACCTTAGCAGTCTCCCACAAAGTAACTATTTCTGACCTAGCTGAGGATCTACATCAAGGGTCCTCAAACTAAGGCCCAGGGGCCAGATACGACCCTCCAAGGTCATTTACCAGTCCTCGCTCAGGGTCAACCTAAGTCTGAAATGACTTGATAGCATACAACAACAGAAACAATCCTATCTCATTAGCCAAAAGCAGGCCCACACTTCCCATTGAAATAATAGCAAGTTTATATTTGTTAACATTGTTCTTCATTTTAATTATTGTGTTGTTTTTAAGTGTTTTTTTTGCACTACAAATAAGATATGTGCAGTGGGCATTGGAATTCATTCATGTTTTTTTCAAATTATAATCCAACCCTTCAACAGTTTGAGGGATTGCGACCTGACCCTCTATTTAAAAAGTTTGAGGACCCCTGATCTGCATGAACAAATGCAAGTTTTTGCAATGTATCTTGTGGTCACTTGGAGTTAGCTTTTCACCTGTGTCATTGTAATTTGATTAATACTGCATACTAGTCTTGCTGGTGTAAGTAGGATCCCCATTCTTAAGGACACTTTCTCCAGCTTTTCTCCACTAAAGCCCAGTGACTTCTTTCCCTATGTGGTATGATTTCTCATTTAACTTCATGACATATCATACCAATAGTGTATGAAATAGTGAAATCCCGTGATATAACGCTGCAGCATATTGTTCTTGAGGTGTAACAGAGTGTCATGATTATGCCCCATCCGAATTACATCCCCTCTTGATTTCATAACATCTCATATGTTTGTTGTATAGTACACAGGAGTCACATTTGCCTGATAATGTAAGACTCATGCTTCAGTGAGAGATCAAGGATGTCTCTGGCCATAGAAACACACCACGCCTTATAACTGTGTGACTGTTCTGCTCTTGCAAGAATCCACCATGTGTAGGTGTGAAGGTGCCAGTTTCCATGGATACAAGGATGCCGGATTTGCTAAAGCTGCTTACCGAAAGTGCTGCAGCTTTCAAAAATTAATTTTACAATATATCGGAACAGTTTGTGCCTCTTTTCAAATGGCATATAATCAAGAGAGAAAAAAAAAACATGCATATGCAAGTTGATGTCTAGGCAAGCTTCCCATGACCAACGTTTTCATCTTGCAAGTCCCATAGAGAGTGTGAACATGTAATACAAGGAATATTTACAGTTGCATCAAAAGAAGTGTCTTCTCTGTGCACAATTGGTCACAAATAGACCATTGACTTTTAGCTCATGTCCAAATAGAAACATGAAGATGGAAAGATATGCCAAAAAGTGAACTTTCATATGATTTTATGGAGGAAATCTGCAGTGATAAACAGGATGTGTTAAAAGATATTCGCTCTGTAGCAGAATTATGTGGTAGACTCCTCTCTAGATAATATCTCTTAGACCTCAGGTAGGAAATTATACTTTTAGATGCTCTGTCTGCCAAATGAGCGCCTTAAATATAAAATCAGGCACACCAAGGAGAGGCTTTTTTGCCTACAGAAGGTTCTGCAGAAGATGAAACTCTTAGAAACACAAATGGAAAAAATAATGTGCATGGGAAGCATTGATCCACGATCAACAAGGTCAGTGAATAGTAACTTGACAAGTATAACAAACACATTCATTCCCAGAAGCTAATTACAAACAGCATAGGCAAAACTGCAACTCAGCAACCCGTCATGTAAATAAACCACTCCTCAAAGTACAAAAGGTAATTCCTACTATGTGGGCAACAAACTGTGAAAATGAAGCAGGAGATAGAGTCAGAGATATCGAGGCACTTTCAAACCTTTTCCATAGGAGAAGTCCCATTTAAGTGCAAAGCTATCCTGTTGCAGTCATGAGTGTGTGTGTGCTAACTGGATATTTTGGAGAAACCAATGTGGGGTGTAATGGATAGAGTGTTAGATTTCCAGCAACAAAATATGTGGGAAATTTTCTGAATTCAAATCACTCGATCAGGATAAACTCCTAGTTTGGGTTGTTGTAGGTTTTTTCGGGCTATATGACCATGTTCTAGAGCAGTGGTTCTCAACCTGGGGTCCCCAGATGTTTTTGGCCTTCAACTCCCAGAAATCCTAACAGCTGGTAAACTGGCTGGGATTTCTGGGAGTTGTAGGCCAAAAACATCTGGGGCCCCCAGGTTGAGAACCACTGTTCTAGAGGCATTATCTCACTACCTCTGAGGATACTTGCCATAGATGCAGGCGAAACATCAGGAGATAACGCCTCTAGAACATGGCCATATAGCCCAAAAAACCTACAACAACCCAGTGATTCCAGCCATGAAAGCCTTCGTCAATACAACTCCTAGTTTAATTTGAGGACTGTGGGTTAAGCCATCATGGAGGTGCAATTGTAAGCCACCTTGAGAAAGGGGTAGAAAAAGGTGGGATATAAATAAGGTAAATAAATAATAGATAAATAAATTAACCGCTAAGCTGCAGAACTTGCTGACTGGAAGGTTGGCAGTTGAGATCCGTGGGATGGGGTGAGCTCCCATTGTTAGCTCCAGCTTCTGCTAACCTTGTATTTTGAAAACATGCAAATGTGAGTAGATCAATAGGGACCACTTTGGCGGGAAGGTAACAGCGCTCCATGCAGCCACATGACCTAGGAGATGTCTACAGCCAACGGCAGCTCTTCGGCTTAGAAATGGCGATGAGCACCAACCCCCAGAGCCAGACACAACTAGACTTAATGTCAAGGGGAAACCTTTACCTTTACCTCTGTTATACTGGAAGCTGGGTGGGGGGCACATTGTTATGATTTGCCTCTCAGGATTATTGGAAGACTGAACACCACCACATTGAGCTCCTCAGGGAACCTGTAAGATAAAAGAGTAATAAGCAGATAAAGTCAACTAAAATTCAGCAATCACTAATTAAGGGGAAATAAGTCAGTCGTTAAGCTGATTATTCTCATTCACTTACATATTTGATGTCAGTTTAATACTTTATCTCTAGGTGGGAAGTGTCCCTCATGAAGTGCAATATAATATTTTACAAGTAGGATTACAGTTCCTCAGTGCCATAATCAAACATTGCTTCCATTCTGTAGTCTCTTCATTCTCAAAGTACTAGATAGAATATATAGTTTTTTTCCCTATCTTTTAAAAAGCAGAATACTCTTAACTGCTACTTGGTATTCTGCTCGCTTGTGCCATTCTTCATGCATTCTTTTCTCCACTCTCCCTGCTACCACAAGGAAATGATATAAATTCTTGTTTGGTTGATAAATTCTTCCTAATACTCCAATTCTTGTGTTATATAAGCCAACAGAATTCTAGCAACCCACAATATGCAGGGTTTGTGTGATCTCCCAAGATAATATCTGTTTTTAATAAAAAGGGGATCACAACACAAAACCCTGAAGGTTTTTTTAAAAGAAGAGACTCATATTGGGATTGAAGCAGTGATAGTCGTTCCACCCCACGACCAAATGAATGCCTTTATAATATGGAACACTCCCACTGTATAGATGTTATTCCTGTTTTCTCCCACTTAAGGCATCTTTATTCAATTTCAGGTTGTGAAGAAAAAACAGCGAACAAGAATAGTGGAATTTTTTATTGATGTGGCCAGAGAGTGTTTCAACATTGGGAACTTTAATTCGATGATGGCCATAATCTGTGAGTACTTTTTTGTGGGATGCCAGGGGGCAATATGTTCATGTGTGACAGTGCTGGTAGAGTAATGGTGTTTGGGTGGATCCAGGTTCTGATAATAAATGCAGTAACTTAGATCAGGGCTTCTCATCTCTTATGGGAAACCAGTAATAATTTTGTTTCAGCATGTCAGAGACCAGGATCATCTTTGTGCTCATTGGCCACATTTATTTGTTTATTTATTTACTATATTTGTATACCGCCCTTCTCAGCCCTCAGGCCGAAACTCCTGGAAACTTGTCCAGGGCCCATACTACTTTGAATCGTATTGCCCTGTGTGAAAAATGAGCATCATAGAGATTACTAGAACTGTAGAAACTGACTTTTAAGAGGCTACAGTTCCTAAAGGAATTCATTCAGGAGAGGCAAGAAATTACTCATATCTAGTCACTTAAATATTCTTATGACCACTCCTTATTGCATTTGCACTCACCTCCTAATGTCACAAATGCATGTAAAAAAATTGAATGACACTTCATGCAGTGCCAGCACCTTCATCTACATGTAGGGCCATTTTAAAGGACTTGCTTGACATTTTAATTTCTCATTGCAGCCGGTATGAACCTAAGTCCTGTGGCACGGTTAAAGAAAACATGGTCCAAAGTCAAAACAGCCAAATTTGATGTTTTAGAGGTAAGTTTTTTTGTACATTGCCGAAGCATTTTGCCAAATTCACAGCTGCAATGTGCAATGTGTTTCTTTTCTTTTGAAACTGGGAAGGTTGTATATGTCTAGGACATCTTAAAAATGTGTTTACTAGTATTCAGATACTGGCTACAATCCTGTTGGTGAGACATGCAAGCCTTGCATATGTCCTTTCAATGGGCTTTGATTGTGTGTTCCTGCATGACAAGGAACTGCACTGAATGGTTCTTGTGGTCTCTTCGAACTCTGTGATCCTGAGGTCGAATTTAGACTAGGACCACAGATAAGGAGGATCCATGCCTGGTGAGCATCTATGATTCTAAGGTCAGTTGATTCTTTTGCCTGACTGCAAGCAACTTACCATTCTGAAGTGGTGCCTGTCCCTCAGCTTCTGGTAGACAGTGAGAGCAACCAGGTAGTGACAAGGAGCATTTCTGCAGCTAGATGCCCAAGAAAATAATCGTTGTCCAGGACCTCCAGAGAACTCCCATGATTTGTATAAGGATTTTGTTGTACAGAAACAGATATGGCTGCTACTTGGTTGTCTCACATCCTGCCCAGGTCACTAAATGGCTGTCAGGGAGGACCACAACTATGCATATTTGTTGTAAGACAAAAAGAGGTAGTGGATTTGGCAGAGTTTTACACCCTGCAAGACAACGCAGGATCCTAACCATTGTAACAGTAGAGGAGAGTAAAAGTACACATCGAAATGTACTTGTGAAACAGCAAAAATCTAAATTCACATTGAGATGTACTTGTGAAACAGCAAAATTTTAAATACAAATAAGACAAGTTTTTCCAAAGCTTTTTATTCAGCAACCTTAATTCAATTAAATGTTTGCAGACCTTCCAGTTATTTTTATATTCATTAGCTTGATCTGTGAGACAGAAACACATATGTTCATCTAACTGAACAACTGGAAAGGATAGAGCCTGTACATTTTGTTCTCATACTTGTATAAGTCAGGGGTATGCAGCCTCAGGCCTTCCAGACAAGATCTCCCATCACCCCTGACCATTGACAATACTGTTTGGACCTGATGGGAACTAGAGTTCAGCAAGAATACTACAGGTTGCCAGTATATCTGGGAGTAAAAACCTCTTTAAAATAAGAGGTGGAGCTCAAGGGAAAGGACTTGGAATATCCATAAAGAGAGGAGGGCCTCTGCATTCAGTGTACTTACAGAGCTATTTTAAATATATATATTTTTTCCTTGCACATATGATATATGTGGGATTTATTATTCTTCATCTCTAATTGAAGACTGCCATCTAGTGGCGAGAGATAGTCAACATTCCATAATAAAAAGACCATCATAAGAGATGTTTCCACTAAATCACACTATGAAACACAATCACCTGTTAACCATTAACTCTTCCAATGAAAAGCAAACATACAAGCAGACTGTTCTAGGGCAAAGACAAAAACAAGGAACAGTTTTATTACATGGCTTTGCCAACATCAAAAGCTAGCCGTACCTTTTACTACTATTGTAAAAAATAAAAAATGTAATATTTTTAGGGATTGCATCCATGTGGAGTAAGAGCAATTGATGATCAGATTAGCTTAGGTCTGCATGTAACATTACTCTAACATTCATTAAACTTTGCTTGTTTTCCCAGGGATGCCATCATGTAAGCAAGAACTACTTTGTACTTTAGAAGCATTATGTACTTCCAAACAAACTGAAATGATTTCAAAGCGAATTCATAACAGAGAGGGTATTATTAAAGGCAACAAATCACTTAGTAAAAGTGAATGTCAACAGTTTCTTAGCAATATGCACAACAGACACATATCTTCTTTCTATCATCAACATTGAGTTCATTGTTAGTACACATGAGGTTTATTATTTACACATGGTTATGATATGATTTGAAGATCTGTCATGTTTATGGGGTGATCAAGCCACAAAGTGCCCAACCATTACCAGAATTAGATTGCAGGATTGAGATTTACACAAACAGCCCATCATCCACAAAATATCCCCAGCTTTTGCCTTCATGATCTGAATAATCCGAATAGTTGTTAAAGTTTAAATCACTACAAATCACAAGAATAGTTACTATGAATCAAGATTTTCATTTCATACAATTGTTCATCTAGGAGGTAAGAGATTACACATAAGATTCTGTAAGTTTGTCTTTAAGATGAATTTGTATGTAAAATGCACATTTTAAAGCATACTTTAATATGCACATACATCCAGCCATATATATGTGTGTGTGTATATATATAAAACTTTGGATAGCACAGGGGAAGATTATTATTATTATTATTATTATTATTAACTTTATTTGTACCCCGCTAACATCTCCCGAAGGACTCGGTGCAGCTTACAAAGGCCAAGGCCCTCAATAAAACAACAGTATAACAAATACAACAATAAAACTCATAAAGCAAACCAATAAACATTAAAGCAATAACAGTAAAACATTAAAACAATACATCATGACACAGTTAAAACTAGGGCCGGGCCAAATGTAATGAATAAAATTAAAAGTGCTGGACATGACAGGTGAAATGTAAGGATTTTAGGGTAGGTGCGATGTGCAGGCAATCTTAAATCTCTAGTAAAGTGCGTTTGGGACATGATTAACCCCTGTTCAAAAGATTTCCCCTCACTTTCCATCGCTGTGATAGTTGGATTTTCAAAAATTAAGGTTCGTTGTGTAAACAAGGACTGGTGATAAAGCTTCAGTCGAGACACTTTTTGCCCATGATAACCTTTTCAGGAGTGAATTTCCCTTCCGAGGGGTAGATTTCTCTCATTTCATGTTGTCTCACCCCCGTTCTTAACTGTGAGTCATTTGTAAGTCAGAAGTTTGTAACTTGGGGTCTATCTGTATTTGTACTCATGGGAGTTCTAATAAGAAATTGTTTTTCTCTGTTGTTGTTGTTTTTGACCTAATAGCATCACATGGACCCATCCAGTAACTTCTGTAATTATCGAACCGCCCTCCAAGGAGCAGCACAAAGATCCTTGACAGCACACAGCAGCCGGGAGAAAATAGTCATCCCCGTTTTCAACCTTTTCATTAAAGATATCTACTTTCTGCACAAAATACACACCAACCACTTGCCCAATGGGCAAATTAACTTTAAGGTAATCAGCATGCAATCATATGATGGGTGTTAAAAGAAGTGGGAATCTCCAATCTAAGGAGGAGAATGTCACCTAAGTTTGTGAAATTTGTTCATTGGCCATTATTGTCCTGTTCAGTGTGATGTAGTGGTTTGAATACTGAAGTATGACTCCGGAGATCAGAACTCAAATCCCTGCTCAGCCATGGAAACCTACTATGTGACCTTGGGCAAATCACTCTCAATCTTAGAGGAAGGTAATAAACCCCCCTTCTTCATATAAAAAAACCTACCTACAACAAAATTTGGGATCTTTACTTGGTCAATCATATAGTGAACAGAAAATATACATCTGCTAAATTCCCATTAGTAAAAATTGAAAATAAGCATTGCATAGTGGGCATGTGGCGAAGGACTGGAAATCTGTTTTAGTGCCATGGATCAGAAACACCACATTCTACATCAGAAGAAGATAACTGTAGCCAATTTTCTGTACTAGGACCCTGGAAATTTGCCCAAAAATGGTCATAGGTGAAACCAAACCATAAGTGGACAAGAATTTGAGTCTGGGTATGAAATGCAGGCATATTTTGATGCTGGACAGTGTAGTATAAAATATAGAGAAAGATAAATTTCTGGAGACTTCGGAGAGGCCGTGAAATAATTTAGTGGTATGTGAAATAAATTGTGCCAGTTCAATAATAAATCCAGATCTGACTAGAACCTGAATCATATCTAGTAGTCTATGGCTACTACATTGGGCTAACAGGCTAATGATCTAGGCAAGATTTTATAGTGATGCTAATTTTATGAACCATGAGGGGAAATTGCAGTGGTAGCTGATGGCTTCCATTTCAATGAAGTAATGAATTGAATTCTCACCCCCTGGGGTGAGAAAGGCAGGGTAGAAATGCCGTAAATAAATACATAAATAAATAAATTTAAAGGAGCATTTAAAATGCTGACACTAATTTGGGTACAGAGGTCAGAACCTTTGGATAGTTCCTTTAAAGTTCAGACTAACCCAAAAGAGATTCACCAACCTATTGACCTAGAAGTCTCCAACTTCCACTGGGGAACAAAACCTATGGCTGTGAGGATTTGCATTTTTCCAGCAGCTTAAGACAAGACTTCTGCAGTTGTACTGAGGTGACTGCATGCCCACCCTTATGCCATGGTTTATACAATCAGCATTGCCATGACGTACTGGTTGCATCATAATACCACTAGTTCTCCCATGTTCTCCCCCAAGGTATTCCAATCTGAGTTGTGACAAAGGTAAGATGTCACAAGTAACTGTTGCTTGTAATTTCTTGAGCAGAGTGGATGGGAACGAAGAGTGTAGCAATGATGGTTTTTTTTTATGTCAGGAGCAACTTGTGAGATAATTGGCTATCTGCAAGGACATTGCCCAGGGAATGCCTGGATATTTGATGTTTGTGGGAGGCTTCTCTCATGTCCCCGCATGGGGAGCTGGAGCTGACGGAGGGAGCTCAACCCACTCTCCCTAGATTAGAACCGCTGACCTATTGGTCTGCAGTCCTGCCAGCAGTAAGTTTTAACGCATTGCACCACTGGGGACTCAAATAATAATAATAATAATAATAATAATAATAATAATAATAATAATATACTTTATTTATATTTTGTTCTATCTCCCTGAAGGGACTCAGGGTGGATTACAGAACACATATACGGCAAACATTCAGTGCCAATAGGACAGACAATACATAAACAGAGGTAAGGCTTTCCCGTCTTTTTCCATTTCTGGCATCTGGAGGCTGTGCTTGACTCTGACCATAGGGCACTGCTGTTGTTCCATCTTCCATGCCGAGGAGCTTTGTCATCCATAGATGTTCTCCCGATGAAATCACCAGCATGCCTTTAAACGGGGAGGTAATAAAAGGCACCTGCCTTTTATTACCTCCCTGTTTAAAGTGGTATTATTTATCTACTCACATATTTGTTTTCTATCTGCTGGGTGAGTAGAAGGTGAGGCTGACGGCAGGCCCTCACCCCTGACCTAGGCTTGAACTACCAACATTCAATCAGGATTTTCTGCAGCTTAGCAGTTTAACCCACTACTAAGCTCTGCTCCCTGCTAAGCCTGATGACTATACCTGAAATTGTCATGAATAACATTCATTGATCTCTCATTAAATATTATTTGGGATCATTTTAAGAGATTCAGTACTCTTTGACAATTATAAAGTAGGTTTAAAATAATTTAAAAACTAGAGAGTAATTAAGGACAAACAACAGTGGCGATATTACCTTTTCAAAGACAATACTTATTAAACAACAATGGCAGTGTAACCTTTTTAAAGACCAATGATGAATTAATTTTTAAAAAGCAGAAAGTCCCAAGCCCTAGTAGTAGTGTTCTAATTGCTTTTATTTTTCTCTTGCAGAAATTCTGGGAAATTTCAAGGCAAATCCATGACTTTATCACGTGGAAGCAGGTTGAATGTCCTTTTGAGAAAGACAGGAAAATTCAGAGCTATCTGCTCACAGCACCTATTTATAGTGAAGAAGGTAAGGTTTTTGGCTATTCGAACAAAATAAATTTATGCTCATACAGCCTCTTTGTGTCTTTCACACTGTTTGTTACCTCTGTGGACATTACAAGTTTTAGATGGAATGAAGAGGAAAGGTATAATTTACATTGCCATCAACATAAATAAATAAAATCTACCTTGTATTCCAGGCTTCTAGAAGATTATGCTTTCTGTTGCTGGAATAACAAACCTAATTATATATATTTGTGAATCAGCTGTCAGCAAGAACCATTGCAGTGTAATAACAATGGGATCAAAGTGGGCAGTTAGAATTTTTTGTAATCTATGAAAAAAATATGGAAATCATAGTCAAAAATGTATTCTTACTTCACATTTGTTAAAATTACATGTTTTGATCTCATCATTGTAGAAAATATATGAAATATGTCACATGTACTAATCAATCCCCTTCCCTTCCCTCTTTTAGCTTTGTTTATTGCATCATTTGAAAGTGAGGGCCCTGAAAATCATATGGAGAAAGACAGCTGGAAAACACTGAGGTAATAAACCCCTTCTTGGTTCCTTTCATAGGGTGAGCTATCACACATACACAAACACACCTGAGCCTTCAAAATACAGCCCATGGATCCACAGATAAATTGAGCAAGGTAGAGGAGGAGTATTAGTTTGCCATCCCTTGAAAGTGTCTTAAGGGTTTGGTAATGCTTGTCTCATGAAATCTGCTTAGATATACTCCAGCTAGAAATAAAATCTAAGCCAAAGAAATACTTCTCAGTCACTGATTTATTACATTGCCTTATAGCAGTGGTTCCCAACGGGCATCCGTGGACCACCAGTGGTCCCCAAGAACTAAAATATGGTCCGTGGCCTCACCATTACTACACAGTTGCAACGAGAGCAATTGGTCTCACAAAACCCTCTTTTAGTACCAAGGCAACGGGGATGTCGGGATGGTAGAGGCTGACTACTCATGAAAGGCACGACAACAATCCTCCTGACTGCTACTTCTCCCTTCCCCTGAGTGGAGCTGTTCCATGTGGTGCCTGGAAGCAGGGGTACCTTGGTGTCTGTTTTTAGGCCTTTCCTGAGGTTATTTGGGGTGCTGCTGCACCGGGACTGTGGCGCAGCTGTCAGCTGCATTAAGATCACTTCTGACCACAAGGTCATGAGTTCAAAGCCAGCCCAGGTCGGAGTGAGCTTCCGACCAATTGTGTAGCTTGTTGTCGACCTTTGCAACCCAAAAGACAGTTGCATCTGTCAAGTAGGAAAATTAGCACCTCTGTGTGGGGAGGCTAATTAACTAATTTATGAGGCCATAAAAGACTTCAGCAAAAAGCACTCCAGCAAAGCATGCAGGGAATGCGGAAGTACTTCATCAGTGTCACAGATGGACTATGAAAGCGACAGCTCCCCTGGTGGCCAGAAAAAGTTAAATAGCCTCTGACTATCTATATCAGTGGTTCTCAACCTGGGGTCCCCAGATGTTTTTGGCCTACAACTCCCAGAAATCCTAGCCAGTTTACCAGCTGTTAGGATTTCTGGGAGTTGAAGGCCAAAAACATCTGGGGACCCAGGTTGAGAACCACTTATCTATTGTGTGTCTTTGGCATTGAATGTTTGCCATATATGTGTACATTGTAATCCGCCCTGAGTCCCCTACGGGGTGAGAAGGGTGGAATATAAATACTGTAAATAAATATATAATAAATGCTGATTCAGAGAATTGAACTGGATAGACCACATCATCTCTCGATTATTAAATATGGTTTTCCTTGGGCAAGCAGATGGCGACTACTGGATAGCATATGTTCTGTATCAGAAACTAGAGCTGATGTGGTCTATCCAATGCAATTTTCTGAATCAGCACCCCAAATAACCAAACTGAATCTAAAGTTGACCAAAAACGATTCATAACCCTTTTGGTACTAATGTTGGAGAGTGGTCCCTGGTCAAAATAAGGTGGGGAATCTTATAGGATGTAGGATAGATTACATATTTGTTAATGCATTTTTAGTAGACGGGAACATTTTTAAAATGCACTCTGGAGTGGTGCAGTCCAGAATTTTGCCATCTCAACAATGTTCGACATCCACAATAGGACAGGGAGGTAAATTGCATGGTTTCAGCATGATGGAGGACCCCTTTGGGTTTTTTTAAAGGTTCCTTTCTATTAAAACCCTGCAACTAGAAAAGCAAAGCAGCAGGCAAAGAGCTGGAGGTGCGATGATTGTTCACAGAACCTCTTCATTTTTGATATGAGAAGTGTTTTGACACTTTGGAACTGTCTGCCAAGAGATGTCCAGCCTTCATGAGAGTTCACACCTCTTGCAAAAGGATGAGACAAGCTGCCCTTGTATTTCTTGACAAGGCATCCATAAAAATTGGCTTTTTCTACTTGTGAAGCAGAGAGCTACACACAGCCATAAATAAAACAGACAAGGAATGGCTATTGCAGATCTTATGATTTACCACATTTTGTAAAAAATCTAGAAATGGATATAAAAAGACATTAAAAACAACCCTATTTTTCTATCCCCACCACCCCTCTCTCATTTTTCTATCTCCTTTTTTAATGCAAGGATTGTTTGGTGTTTTGTGTTTTTAATTGGAGTGTATTATGAAGTGGTTTTCTTCTCACTGTAATAGGAAATATTAGTGTCCTATCATCACAATATCCTGCATTTTCACTTTAAACTCATTTTGTTTCATGCATAATATGAAATGTGAAGCACAGTAGAACAGCTCTGGATAAGCCAGCACTCAGGATCATACGGTATACAGGCCAAATCCAAACTCAGTTTACAAGAGAATTATGCTAACATAGTCTTTAATGTCCATTTGGCTGGTGACAGGCCTATCTCACTATGCTTTCCATTTTATAATTCTCCCATGCCTCCTGACTTCTTCCATCTGCTTTCAACAAAATCTGCTAAATTGGGGCAGAAAAAATAGCTGCCTTGTGCCTTTTTACAGGTAACAGTTCGAGGAGACCATAAAGTATTGTTTTTTTGTGATTTTATTTTTGAAAGCACCCCATTATCACTTAATTTGAGGGCAAGAAACCAGAAACCTAGTGTGGTTAAAATTATTTCCCCTGCCTCTCAAGGCTTCATGCATATTCAGGAATGTATCAATATTCCAACTAGATGTGAAATAATCCGTGATAGCCAATTTCCAAAGACTGGCAGTGAATACCAGGTGGTGCTGGCAAAATTACAGAGGGAAAAACTGTCAAAAACACCTGCGTATTCCTTGCCTAAGAAAATCCTATGAAATTCATGGGCTCCTCATAAGTTAACAGGCAACTTGAAGGCTCGCACGCATACACATACGCAACAAATCAGTAAACAGCACTGGGGTGGAATCAAAATAGTGCATATACATTGTAGACTTAATACAGTTTTGACACCACTTGAACTGCCATTGTTCAATGCTATGGAATCCTGAGAATTGTACTTTGGTGAGATACCAGACCTATGAAAGAAGGAGGGAAGGCTTGAGTGAGCAAAGGCAGGGAGGAAGACTTGGGCGGGTGAGGGGCAAAAGAAGGAGGAAAGTTTGGGTGAGCAAAGGCAAGAAGAAAGGCTTGGATAGGCAAGGGGCAAAAGAGGAAGGAGGAAGGCTTGGGTGAGTGAGGGGCAAAGGAGGAGGGCTTAAGTGAGCAAAGAGCAAAAGAGGAAGGCTTGGGCAAGTGAGAGAAGGAGGAAGACTCAGGTGAGCAAGGGACGAAAGAGGAAGACTTAGGTGAGTGAGGGCAGGGACAAAGGCTTGAGTGAGTGAGGGGCAAAGGAGGAAGGCTTGAGTGTGTAAAAGAAGAAAGCTTGGGTGAGCGAGGGGCAAAAGAGGAAGGCTTGAGTGAGCAAAGGGCGAAAGAGGAAGGCTTGGGTTAGTGAGGGAAGGAGAAAGGCTCAGGTGAGCAAGGGACAAAGGAGGAAGAATTAGTTGAGGGCAAGGAAGGCTTGGTTGAGTGAGGGGCAAAAGGAGGAAGGCTTGAGTGTGCGAAGGAAGGCATAGGTGAGAGAGGGGCGGAGGAAGACTTGAGTGTCCAAGGGAAGGCTTGGGTGAGCAAGGGGTGAAGGAGGAAGGCTTGATGAGCAAAGCGCGAAAGAGGAAAGCTTGGGCAAGTGAGGGAAGGAAGAAAGCTTGAGTGAGAAAGGGGTGAAGGAGGAAGACTTAGGTGTGTGAGAGCAGGGACGAAGGCTTGGGTGAGTGAGGGGCAAAGGAGGAAAGCTTAGGTGAGTGGGGGAAGGAGGAAGGCTTGAGTGAGCAAAGGGCGAAAAAGGAAGGCTAGTGCAATTGGGTGGCGGGTGGTGAAAGACCTTGGCGGGCCATATCCAGCGTATCTATCCGAACGGATCTCCCTCTACGTCCCACCTTGGAGTTTAAGATTTTCCGGGGAGGCCCTGCTCTCGTCCCCACCTCTATCACAAGTGAGATTGGCAGGGACGAGGATCAGGGCCTTCTCGGTGGTGGCCCCTCACCTATGGAATTCACGCCCCGGGGAAATTAGATCAGCGACATCCCTCCTTTCCTTTAGAAGGAAATTAAAAACATGGATTTGGGACCAGGCATTTGGGCAATCTGGCAGATAAACAAAGGACTACGACGACCAATAAGAGTAGACAATGTGGAATGAAGTTATGGACTCTGAGTTAGCGAACGCTGAATATGAGATTGGTTTATTGACTGTGATATATAATGATTGTTTTTAACTGTTATAACTGGTTTAATTACTGTCTTATATGTTATCTGTTTTATTGTGTAGGCATCGAATTGTGCCTTTTGTAAGCCGCCCTGAGTCCCCCCTCGGGGGTTGAGAAGGGCAGGGTAGAAGTACACGAAATAAATAAATAACTATCCAGCCAGCAGACAGTAGTTTGAGGCCCGTGGTTTAAGGTTCCTTGCTGGTCTGATCATCTATCTTTTTTATTTTCAGGACAACTCTCCTCAACAGAGCCTGAAGTGTTCAACATTGCTGCAAATTCTAAAGCACACACTACGAACATTGCTTTTAAATCATGAATGACATGGTTTGAGAAAGGCCTCACTGGCTGGGGCCTGTTTTGTATATACAATACCTTTTATGAATTACAAGAGAAAAAATGTGCAAACTTTTCCACATCAACCTTAAGGCACTTAAAATGAAGGATATTGTTGGTTTTTTAAAAAAAACTATAAGAAATCAAGGGCAGGACCCTGTTCTCAGAGATGAAATGGACTGTGGGGGAGTGGACTTAATGGTGATGTCTTATTGTAATGGCATCCAAATCTTTATTTTCATGTTTGATTACTTCCACCGAATACATGAATACTCTCAGATGGACTCAACACAAGACCGGTTCAGTGCGCCACCATGCCTTGATCCGCCCAACACTTTATGAATATGATTTCCATCATGTGGGACTGACACATTTGAAAAAACAAGGTTTTCAAAATCCTACAGAAATACAATAACAGTTTGCAGCATGAGCAGCGCTTGGCTTCACTGAACCACTACACTGACACTGGAACATGGAGTACCTGTCAACATACAATCCCGTTTGGATCACCTGATACTGCTTCTCCTGTTCTTTCATTCTTATAACAACAAAACAAGGAATGAAATCAACTTCTTAGTCACATCTCATTATTCCTTTGTTGCATCTAAAGGACGAGGTGTTTGCCTATGAGAGTTCATATCATGGAATATTAGGCATCAAGGTACTGCCGGTTTGCTCTTTTTTTGTTTCAAAGTACTGTATTTTTCATTTGCTCTTGTTCTGGATTTTATTCTCATTGTTCTGGGCACCCCACCTCTCTTTTGGATGCTGCATTCCTTGCCTCTCTGACTTGTTTTGAGCTCTTAAAAGAAAGAAAAAAACTCTTCTAAGGGTCACTTGAGACAGTTGGAAAATTTCAGCAGTATAGCTTTCCCTGGACTGTTCCAGTGTAGAAAGTAAAGGCTGGCATTTGTTGCATATTTGAATATACACTTAATGAGGAAAAAAGCAGCCTGTGGAGAAGACTAAAGGTCCTTTCACACTATACAGCTGTAGCACTATGATCCCCTTTAACTGCCATTGTTCAGTCTTATAGAATCTTAAGATTTGATTAGGGAGCATTACTAGAAATCTTGGAGAGCTTTAGGGCCCAACTTTGTGTGTGTCAGCAGCAACTTGAGAAACTGCAAGTCACTTCTGGTGTGAGACAATTGGCCGTTTGCAAGAATGTTGCACAGGGGACACCCGACTATTTTACTATCCTGTGGGAGGCTTCTCTCATGTCCCCACATGGGAAGCTGGAGCTGACAGATAGAAGCTCATCCTGTCTCGCAGATTCAAACCGCCAATCTTCAGGTCAACAGGTTAGCTGGCACAAAGGTTTAACCCACTGCGCCACCGCGGCTCCAACAAATTTTAATCACAAGATTACATAAAATATACTCATGGCAGTTAAAGAGGAACTGTGAGGATGTATTTGCATAGTGTGAAAGACTCCTCAGACAAATCTTTCCCACCAGTTTTCCAATTTTCTGTGGGCACAGGCTTGAATCCGACAGGTAGGTTACCTAAAAGAGGTTTCTCCTCTCACCCTCTTCATTGCCACATATGATCCCTCTAAAAACCTTAGGGACCCAGGTTTATGAACATTGTGCGAGTGTGTGACATCCTGTTGTTTGGAATTGTAAATTGAGCATAAGATGCATTGAATGAAGCAAATGCACACAAGGGATTTTCTCAGTGGTTTCCCCTAGTCCAGCTGATACAATTCAAGATCCAGCCCATGACCACTTTCTGGAAAGGCCTTATTGGGTTATAGGTGGCTTCAGCTTCAAGCCAGTGTGTTTATTTTAATAGGGAAAATTCAAATTCCTTTATGTGCCAGCCCAAGAGGTTTAGGACAGGTCACATTTCACTATTTCCTTTTGTCCGTTGCATAGAAACAGACCCTCCATTGCAACAAAACAATCTGGTTGCCCCAAGTTCAGCACAAAGATCCTTGGTCTCCTTTAGCCTGGCCTTAAATCACTGTAGCAGCAAGACTGCTCCCCTCTTACATCAGAAGATAGTGCCTTACAAGGTAATGAAATTATGTAGTATACCTTCTTCTTCAACTCTTGAGTTGGAAGCAAACAAAATAAAAATATGGATGTTTTTATTAACCAGCTACAGCTTTGTAAATAAACTGGAATACATGGCATGTGAACTAGAGTATACCTGTCTCTCTATCAAGAATGGTGCAGCCAAACTTATTTTTGTTACATGGTTTGACAAGGTAAAATGGAGCAGTTGGCAGGTCTTTCTTCTCCCCAACCCCGCAGTGCAGTTTGACTAGTTCGTAGGACTCTAGTTTACATTTGTATTTTGTTTATCAGGGATTTTAATTGAGAGTGGAACAAGGTGTACAATTGTCACAATTTCAGTAAAGGACGAACCAATCAACGTATGTCGTAATTCACATATTCTCCTTTGGCTAACTGAAATCAGCTGGTGGATGCCATCTGCAATGTCACAACAGTAGGCAGTTTTGAAAAGGGTTTTCTTGAATTTAGGTGAGTTTGGTGATGATGGTTAACCTTTCATACAGTGCCGTGTTTGGAAAGAGTTTTCTGGCTCTTTGCTTGACTTCCATTCATAAGCAAATTGACTATCACTCATGGAAAAGTGTTCATATGATAGTTTGTAAGAGCAATTCCCTCAATCAGGCTGAATAAATTATTGCAGTTCCAAATAATTTAATATGAACTCACCTTTCAATGTCGAACGCTTACTGAAATGTTGATCCTGCCAAAAAAAGGTGATTGGGATTAAATGGTTCATAAATTAAGTAATATTTTTGCGTGAACTGCTTCTAGTCAGGAAATGTGAATAAGACTGTCAGTTTTCCAGTGATTTTTAATATGTGCAAGTGTCTCAGCCCATATTCATAGAGCCACCTAGTTAAAATAAAAAATGCACGCTCTATAGAATTGAAGGGCCTGATGTTCAATAAAGCTCTCTTTAAAATACTTGGCCAAGTCAAATAAGATGTTGGAACAATCTCTAAAGACCACAATTAGAAACATATTCTGAATTCAATGAGCAAGCCATTTTTACTTTGTGTGCACTTAGCCATATTAATTCACTTCTTCGTTTGGTTTCAGGTTTTTACTTTTCTTTAAAAATTAACTCAACTGGGTTGTTGTAGGCTTTTTCGGGCTATATGGCCATGTTCTAGAGGCATTATCTCCTGACGTTTTGCCTGCATCTATGGCAAGCATCCTCAGAGATAGTGAGGTCTCTGTATTTCGTTATTCAGAGTTGAATTGCTGCATATAAAGCTGTACCATAAAGCAGAATATTCTGTGTTTGACTTGATGTGCTTGCATTAATAACGTCAGGAGAAACGTCAGGAGAAAATGCCTCTAGACCATGGCCATATAGCCCAAAAAAACCTACAACAATCCAGTGATTCCGGCCATGAAAGCCTTCAACAATACATTAACTCAACTGTTTCTATCCAGCTTCTGTTGTTTCTTAAATCCAGAGACAACCCCTTACCATTATTACTACCATCAATACAATCTTTAGAATAACTGGTAGCTAAACATTTCCTAAACACCTATTAATTTTCTCAGACAATTAAAACGAGACCTCACGTTGGACCATGAATACATTTAGATACCTGCAATTCCACTTTTAAAATCAATATATGAAAAGCTTTTTCATGTCCAGCTTTCCCTTGATTTCTAATTAATACAATCCATTTTACAACCAATCTGCTTTGCCAAAGCATTTTTCTATTTATACTAAAATGGTTCAGGGAACAAATCAACACAAATGAGTTAAACATGGAAATGAAATTAATGCATACAAGAGGAAACAGACAACCCCACAGTGACAGAGAATTAGTGGCTTTGATTATTTGTGACTTGCTGCTAGTCTTTCCCACGCTGAAGTATTGATTTTCAGCCCTGGAGTAAAGAGAATATTTATACTGTATTATTACAGTAGGGTTTTTTTGCACTTTTCCGAGATGTCCTAGCTAGCAATGTTGTCAAACACTATGAAAGGGATTGTATATCAGCTTTGTTAATGTATTTAAAATTTACAAAGGGATGCTTTAACTTTCAGAGGTATATATTTGAAATGCAATTCTGAAACATTTTTGTGTATGCATATTTAAGCAGAAAAAAAGCTTTTACATGAATGTGCACTCCAGTGGTCCATTGGTTCTAGTATTTACTTGAAAAAGTGCCATTTCTTCATGTTTTTTTTTTCTGTTACTATTTTCTTTTCCTTTGGTTTGATACATTCCTTCAACATCTGTATTTCGTTATTCAGAGTTGAATTGCTGCATATAAAGCTGTACCATAAAGCAGGATATTCTGTGTTTGACTTGATGTGCTTGCATTAATAAAACCGAAATTGCTTCAGCCAGGCTACGTTGATGCAATTCCATTACTATTAAAAATTGGGGTTTTCACACGGCAAGGTGATAGCTGTTATTTTTTTTAATTGTGTTAGAAGCTACTTGAGAAACTGCAAGTCGCTTCTGGTGTGCGAGAATTGGCTATCTGCAGGGATGTTGCCCAGGGGATGCACGGATGTTTTACGATCATGTGGGAGGCTTCTTTTATGCCCCTGCATGGGAAGCTGGAGCTGACAGATTGCAGCTCACCCTGTCTTGCAGATTTGAACTGCCAATCTTCAGGTTAGCAGTTCAGCCAGCACAAGGGTTTAACCCATTGTGCCACTGTGGCTGGGTGAGATGAAGAGATTCTGGGAGTAATTTATAGCATCAATGCATCTGTGGGCACAGGCATAATTATTAATTCAGTCTTTGCCTTTCAAACATTATATAAATAAAAATGTAATGTTCGTTTGTGGGATTAACATAACTCAAAACCCAATGGACGAATTGACACCAAATTTGGACACAATACACCTCTCAGGCCAACAAGTGACTACTCATAAAAACTGAAAAACACAGCAGAAGAGACTTGAAAAGCCAAAAAAAACAAAACAACATTACAACCCATGTGCAAAACCACATATATATACACCACAAATATATACACACCACAAATATATACACACACAAAATACATATACACAGACTGGGCCACAGCAACGCGTGGCAGGGGACAGCTAGTCTTTTAAATACAGAGACACACCTTCAAGCCATAGCCACCATCAATTGGGAAGGGGGGGATATGATGTTGACTTACTATACAGAATTATAAGATGAATGAGATAGTATACATGCAGCCTTAAGCACACAATGATTGAGATCCTACATTCACCAGGTAGGATATAATGCCGTTTGCTTGGCTCTGCAGCCTCCAAGACCTGGCCAGGACCAGTACTAGTGGGAAGAAGACAGGGCAGACCATGCCAGTGATGGAAAAATGCGGATGCTCTTCTCCAGGGAGAAAAACAGGGAAAGGTGTACTCACCCATTAGAGCAGGGAGGCCAAAGCTAAGGCCCGAGGGCCTGATGCAGCCCTCCAAGGTCATTTACCTAGTTCCTGCCCTAAACTTTACACTTAGAATCGTTCCAAATCTGAAATGGCTTGAAGGCATATGACAACAACAATCCTAATTAACTTGACCTTCTCTTCAGCCAAATGCGTATCTATACTTCCCATTGAAATGCTGGATTGTTCTTTTTAAATATTGTATTATTGTTCTTTTATTTATGTATTTTTTCACTACAAATAAGTTATTGCAGTGTGCATAGGAATGTGTTCAAGTTTTTTTTTTCAAACTACAGTCCTGTCCGTCCCCCCACCCCAGCCCAATGGTCTGGTGGACCATGAACTGGCCCTCTACTTAAAAATGTTTGATCCCTTCATTAGTGTAAATCCTTCTTAAGTCTCCCCAACCAAAGCCTGGACCAGTCACACCTTCACTGTTAGAATTGCTTCACTCTTTTCCCCTTCCTGACTCTTTAATGACAGCAGCCACTTCTAAGGACTGGAAGATTCTGGGGAAAAATTTTAGATGGTGTTCAAAGGGCTTCAGAATAGTACTTTCTGACCTATCCTAAAACAGACATATCTATATAAGAGCTATATTTACATGCTTGCATGTAACTAACAAAATTCTAGCTGCTCTCTTTTTCAGTCAAAAGACCTAGTTTGATAGAAGTATTTTTCCAGTGGTGATTTTTCTACCCAATTAAGAGTAATAATAATAATAAAAAATAATAAACTTTATTTGTATACTGCCCAATCTCCCCAAAGGGAGTCTGGGCGGTTTCCAACATGTAAGGCAAACATTTAATTGCTGGAAAGAAACCATACAGACAATTACATCAAAATAACACATTTCACAATATAACACAACCTAATAAACTTAATAAACAACAACAACTAAAAACATAAAAATACCCCATCTGCTAAAATACATTAAAGATGCTTGTATTTGATCTGATTTATGCTCATATTTGATCTGACAGATTTGTGGTGTACCAGTAACCTTCCGTGGATGACCAGTGTCCCTTAATGTGTTCTGCACTTGTTTGATCCTTACATCCTATCAGGCTAACAAACAGATTGAGAAAGATTTATAGTACAACACCAAGCACAAACACCAGGACACCACTCAGATGTGAGCAAGATGGTCATGACTGAAGTTGGCAGTATCTGAACACACCAGAAGAAGAGGCACAAATGGAGGGCAAAAGGAAGAAACGTTTCAAGAGGAAGGCGCATCAAGCCAACCCTTGTCAGTACTGCCTTCCATCCGGAAATCAATGTCCTCACCACAAAAGAACATGCAGATCAAGGACAAGTCTTCCTACACGTAAAATCATAGAATTTTGGAATTGGAAGAGACTTCATGGGCCGTCCAGTCCAACCCCCTGCCAAGAAGTAGGAAAAAACACATTCAAAGCACCCCTGAGAGATGACCATCCAGCCTCTGTTTAAAAGCCTCCAAAGAAAGAACCTCCACCACACTCCGGGGCAGAGAGTTCCACTGCTGAACAGCTCTCACAGTCAGGGAGTTCTTCCTAATATTCAAGTAGAATCTCCTTTCCTGTAGTTAGAAGCCATTGTTCTGTGTCCTAGCCTCCAGGGCAGCAGAAAACAAGCTTGCTCCCTCCTCCTTATGACTTCCTCTCACATATTTATACAGGGCCCTCATCATGTCTCCTCTCAGCCTTCTCTTCTTCAGGCTAAACATGCCCAGCTCTTTAAGCCACTCCTCATAGGGCTTGTTCTCCAGATCCTTGATTATTTTAGTCGCCCTCCTCTGGACACATTCCAACATGTCAACATCTCCCTTCAACTATGGTGCCCAGAATTGGACACAGTATTCCAGGTGAGGTCTAACCAAGGCAGACTAGAGGGGTAGAATGACTTCCCTTGATCCAGACACTATACTCCTATTGATGCCTTCCTACACTTGATTGCCTTCCAAGTGTAGGATCTTGGTGGTGGGTATGTAGGTGACTGGAGTCACCTATGTACCCACCGCCAAGATCCTACACTTGGAAGGCAATCATACTCAGCAATGAGGTAAAAGAAACCCCAAGGGAGAACACCTATTGTCTCAGCCAATCAATAAGTGTAGAGAAGTTAACATTAATCTTCAACACTATCTGAACCCCATGTTATTGGTACCCTTCCAGTGACAATCAAAACTTTGCCAGAGGAATCACCAGGAACAAAAACATACCTTCCAGCAGAGCTGAACTGCAAACCGATTTTAGCATAACATTTCCCAACTGAAAACCATCAGCATCACCAACAGGAGGCAACCATATGCTGAAGACCAAGGGTAGCAGCATCAAGTTAAGAATTAGAAAATTAACTATAATCTGATATTCCTTTTGTAGATGTAGGGATTCCTTTTGCTTCCGCAAAACATAACAAAGGAAATGGACCCTGCAAATTTTCCCTTTTCAGTGATGTGGAGCAGTTTCAGAAGAAGAAAGTAGCCAAAAGGCAACAATCTCAACGGTTCCTTCCCATCACAAGGTTACACTAGAAGACAGTTCCTGACAGGTCCTTACCTTTGTCTGCTCTGCCTATGGATTGCCTTAGCAACCCCTTTTCTGTTTGGATCCCAACATTCCATACTAAGGGAAGAAACAGTAGAGAAGTAATGGGTTACATATTGTGCCAGACTGCCATGTAGGAAACTCATGGGCATGTCAGATAGTACGTTACAAAGATACACAACATATTGGAGTTATTCCTAATGGCGTGCAGGTGCCTATGTTGAAGATGGGATATTTCTGGATCTGTCATACAAAGTAGAGAAGCTGTAGAACAGCAAAAGAGGACTAAAGATGCTTGGCAACTTGGAAGTAAGTATCCAATAAAGTAAGACCCTTATACCTGTAGGACTATCACGTGTAGTTTCACAACAGAATGCATCCTCTTTAGGAATTTTCTAGATCCTCCAGGAGATTCGGGTAATGTTTTCCTGATGAAAGTTGCCATACATTCACCGTAGAGGACCTACCAAAGTCCATGCCATTGTATTTCTAATTTCTCTGTATGGCTGGACAGTAGAGAAAGCTGATAATTTTTAAAAAAATCAACTCATTTGTAAAGTGGTGCTGGAGCAAGATCCTGCACACACCCTGCCAAAAAGACAAATACAGTAGATCGATACCAAACACATCAGAACGAACCATCCAGGCTGAGTTGATGCCACACAGTTGGAACAAAAAGGGAAGGACATTAAACCATGAATGTTCGTTGATGAACAAGTACAAAAATCTACATTGATACTTGCGTGCCGTGTATTTCACTTTTAATTAGCTATGAACAAACAGTTACTTGTTCTTTTTTCTCAATGAGGAAAGATAGGCCAAGACGCCTACACATAAGAGCCATACTTAATCCCACAACAGAAGACAGAATGAATAAGACTGTTCTTCTCTAGCCGAAGATATTTCAAGAGCATTTACTCTTGAGTTCCATTTGTTAAAGGAAATTCAATTCACTTATGAATCTCAATCTCTCATAAGTTATTATCAAACCACATCATGTGTCCTGCTGTGGAACCCCAAAACCCCTGCTGTGGAAACCAACAAACACAGCCTAGATTAGACAAAGTCATGCATTATGGATCTTATGTCTCATGAATGCAGATTGCTGACAGATAGCTGATAGCTTAAATAATGGCTAAGGCTCAATTCTCCACAATAAGGAATATGGCTCTCCTAGAATCTATATAAATAAAAAATTAATGTTTGTTTGTGGGATTAATAGAACTCAAAAACCACCGGATGAACTGACACCAAATTTGGACACAAGACACCTAACAACCCAATGTATGTCTTTCACTCAAAGAAATTGATTTTGTCATTTGGAATTTGTAGTTGCTGGTATTTATAGTTCACCTACAATTAAAGAGCATTCTGAACCCCACCAATGATGGAATTGGACCAAACTTGACACACAGTTCTCCCATGACCAA